TGTATAATATTTGATTTACAGAATAGTATATATTTTTATGAATACTTACATATGTAGCATTTTTAAAAAATATGCTGAAGTTTAAATGGATGGTGGTGATAAACTTAAACTTCAGGGTGGTGTTTATTGATCTCTGCCTAATAAGGAAAGATAAATCACACAGCAGAGGGCCAAACAAGGGACACTTACTCTTATCTATGATTTTGCTTTCGTAGATCTTATATAAGAAATAACTAGAAAACGTGACAAAATTGTATGTTGGGTTATAAAGAAATTATGATGTTAACTTTATTCTTGTATATACCAGAAACATTAGCTAGAAACAAAGTGGACTTACACAATTCAAATGTATTTTCTAGCATTTTAAGTATTTTCCAGCATTATCTGTGTTAAGGCAACTAAATATGAGCACTTTTATAAGTTTAGATACTCTGAGCTTTGAAAAATATTGAATCCTTAATGATCTGCATTGCATCTTAATAGTTTCAAAATTAATAATGACAGATTTTTCTTTTCATCATATGGATATAGTATTCTTAGCTTATTACTTATTTAATCTCCCTTTATGTGTAATGTTCTTCCAGGATCCAATGTACTCCATGTACATTGAGGAGCAGGGTAAAAGAGAGATCACAATTCCTCCAAAATATAGGGAACTTTTGGCTGTAAGTAATTACTTTTATTTCACTAATTTCTTTATGGAATATAATTTGATATTAATATCTTCACAAGTTTTAAAATTTAGAGAATTTAGTGGGGCGTGTCTTAGTCCACCCACAGGCCACCTGCTAGTGTCACCTTCAGCTGCTCTACTCATCAAGGGATTACTCCACTGGTGGGTGTATTGGCCCATGGTCCAGTCACCCTCAGTCAAAACACAGGAAACTTTTGGGGAGACCCTAGTGTTCTTCTTCAACCCCACACGGCACATGTCCATCTCTTCTGGCCTCTCCAACCTCCTGGGATCTCCACTACACTTTCAGCTACCCTTTCGCAGTTCAGGAGACCTCTTCTCAAAAGAAAGCTTTAAACTTTTATACCTATGAGCCTGTGATATGTTGGCTTTTGCTAATTACTGAGATCCTTTTAAGCCTTCTTTTTCTATTTTTCCTATACAAAATATTTGGCCTCTTGTTAGCATCCATGCTTTTCTTTGGCCCAACCAGTCAGGTACTTCATTTATGGAAAAACTCCAAACCTTTTCAAATTATTGGACTTTATTGTTCGTTCCTGATTTTTCACTGTAGATCTGGCTAAAGGCAGCTAATGGTACCCATCCCACAACCTGAACATTGGACTACTTTGAAATTTTCTTTAGCAGTTCAATTAATCAACTAATTGTCCTTATTTCATCTCCCTCATCCCTCACAGTCTCAGAACATGAGCAAATGAACACTAATTTTTTACTATAGTGTGACACACATGGCTTTTGTTCAACTTCCAGTGATGTCCCTGTTCCCACCAGAAATCTCCCGAGCCTAACATTCACTGCACATTTCTGTCAGCAGCCTGGCTTTCTAAGCTCTGACCAGTATTGGACATCAACCTCTGCTTACAGTATTCCAGCACTTTTTTAGTCTACTTCACCAACTTCTTACAAATATGTTCCAGAGCCTTCTAGACCACATTATCAGGTACAATTACAGCAACAGTCCCAGTCCTGGACTTTCCTATCCCTGGGACAAAATACATGATATCCACAACTTAAAGAAAGAGGTCTATGGTTATCTTGGTCCATAGCAAAAACAGCCTGGTAGAAAGACCAGGGCAGAGGACAGCTTGTACCATGACAGTGACAGGAAGTGAAGAGCAAAAGGAGGAGCTTGGGAGGGAGATCTATAGCCTTTCGTGTCATGCCCCCATGACCCACTTCCAGCCAGGCCTCACTGCCTAGCAGCACATCTGGTGAGTGGACTCATCAGTGGGTGAATCCACTCCTGAATGTAGCGCCTCCACGATGCCGTCATCCTCCAGACATGTGAGACTTTTTAGGGGAGCATTTTAGATCTAACAGAGCATACAAAACTGTACAGGGCAAATAACAGGGCTATAATAGGGCATTTGAAATTGTCGTTACCAAGAAGCTGTGTGTTCGCTTGCTAGTGATGTCATAACAAAGTGCCACAGACCGGGGAGTGTAAACCAGAGAAATTCACTGTCTCAAAGTTCTGGAGGCTAAATATGCACAGTTCCTGTCAGCAAGGCTGGTTCGTACCCAGGGCTGTGACATAAAGTTCTTTTGTAGGCCTCTTTGGCTTATGGATGGGTTCTTTCTTTCTTTCTTTCTTTCTTTCTTTCTTTCTTTGTGGCTGGCTCAGCCCACCCTGAGGGAGTGGCTGGTGGGGCATGTGGTGCCGGGGATCAAACTGCAGTCCCCTGCACCTGCCTAAGCTTGCCTATGCAGGTGCTTTAGACAGCTGAGCTATCTCGCTGGCCTCTGGATGGTTATTTTCTATGTTTGTTTACATCACCTTCCTTCAGTGCATCTCTTTAGGTCTGCGTGTTCCATTTTACAAGGAAGCCAGTCATATTGGATGAGGGCCCACCCTAACGACCTCTCCTCTACTGGGTTACTCCTGTAAAGACCCTATGTCCAAATCAGGTCTCACTGTGTGGTCTTAAGAGTTAGGACTTTAACATGTAAATTTGGATAAGCATACAGCTGTGTCCATCAAGCACTAAGAATACATTTTGCCTTCTCCAGCTCATCTCATTAATATTTCTTTCAGAAAAAAGGTGTCACAGGGCCTCCTCCAGACTCACCGGTGAGTTTACATAAATGTCTTCTAAGATATAAGCCAATGTTGTTTTGATCTTTGGTTGAGGGAGTAGGGCTACCAATTCCATACTGGGGATCGTGACTAAACTCGTTTCTGAACCAGGTGCTGTCTTTGTCTGTTGAGGGAAAGGTGTGCACGGAGTTGCATTAGTTTTCCTTGTCCTCCTGTGTAGCTGTCATTTAGGGGGAAAGAAAATAGAGCCGAGAATGTCTGAACAATAACAGTACGGCCAGGCATAGTGACGTATGCCTGTAATCCCAGCACTGGGGAGGTTGAGGCAGGAGGATTATTGTGAATTCGAGACCAGCCTAGGCCACAAAGTGAACTCAAGTCCTGACAGAACTGTCTAGTGAGACCCTCTCTCAAAAAGAAGAAGAAGAAAGAGACAAAACACCAATAAATCAGAAAGTTATTAACAATAGAATGAATATATCCTACCATGTAATTCTTAAAGCGTAGCAGAGGAAAATTATACTTGTTGAACACCAATTTTCTTTCAAATATAAGCTTTGATTGAAGTCATTCCATTAATATAACTTCTTTGGCAATGAAGAAATACAAAAATACATTTTTCTTTTGTTGAGCTTATAATCTCCGCTCTGACCTGAACGGCTCCTGTACGGTATGACCCTGATGCTTATTTCTTTAGAAACCCATGGGGCCTGACGATGCCATAGATGCCTTGTCGTCCGACTTCACCTGCAGTTCTCCTACTGCTGGAGGAGAGAAAACGGGCACACAGGTATTGTTTTTAGGGTTGTTAAGGAGAGCTCATTAGAATATTTTAGTTCTAGTTACTATAATTAAATTTCCTTTGTCTTTAAATGTGCTCTTTTGTGTGTTATTCTTCAGAGGTCTGCAGGAGAAGTTTTAAAAGCTCAGTCAGCTGGGGAAGTCAGAAGTGCTGCTCCGCCCCAGGAGAAGAAAAGAAAAGTGGAGCAGGTACCAATAATTTCATCTTCATTTTTCTTTTTTCCTCTAGTACTGGGGATTGAGCCTAGGAGCTATATTCAAAGCCCCTTCAGAAATTTTGATGCCAGGTCTCTCTAAGTCACTGGTTTACCCAGGGTGAGCTTGAACTCTCAGTCCTCTTGCCATAGGTCCTAGAGTGTTGGGATTACAGGCATGAGTCACCATGCCCGGACAATAACTTCTTTGAAAATAACCAGGGTTCACCTGACAGCAGTTGCTTTCCTGAACCTGCTCTTGCTTATTGGGAATAGCCCTAGTTAGGCATTACGTGCAGTGAGGAGTGGCCTGCTCCCGGGGTTCTTCGTAGAATAGTGAAGCCAGTGAGGCTGTACTGATCAACTCTGGCCAAGCCTGTGTGTTTTGTAAATCCTTGTGAATGATTTTCACACGGGCTTCTTGGCTGTGATCCAAGTCCATCTCACCATAACAACACACAGAGGGTCAGGGACCAGAAGTGCTGCGCTCACCCGACATGACTTCATCACGAGAGGGATATCACCGTAGCTCTTCCTGCCCACTCTCTTAACCACAGTCAACTGTCTTCTCCTAAGTCCTGCAGTCCAATCTGCACCCCTGGGCTGGCTGAGAAAGCATAGCCCGTGCGCAGAAAGTCCAGATAGTGCAGAGGACAGTTTCTCTCAGAGCTGCTTCTGCATCTGCTCTCCCAGAATGGATAATTTATTGTTATCTGGCTGACTCGGGGAGCAGTGCTCAGGGCCACACCCTGAGAGCTGGCGTTCCTTCCACCCCCACCAGCCATTGTGCCTCCGGGAGGAGACAGCGGCTGGCTGGCCCCTCCAGCTTTCCCTGCTTCCTGAGTTTTGCTGCTTGGCTGAAATGGAGGACTGTCAGGAGCCACACTGAGAGAAAGGTCTTCAGGGCAGTGAAAGTTCGCTCCCTGCAGCTCGATTTTGATGAGGCTATTTTATGGTAGCACAGTAATTTGTATAGTTATACTTCCAACTTGCAAAATAAAGGGTGAAGGACACCCCAGAGAGGCTCTTCCTGTAGGAACGTGTCCTGGCCAGTTTTCACTCACTGGTAAGTTCTGTTTTCTTTCTTTTGCTTAGGTTTCAAGGAAAATTGCCTTCCTAAGTGTTTTCCCGATCCATAATTCATCTTTTGTCTTTAAAATGTGTATTTCACAAAGAAAATGGGCTGCATGGCCTCAGGAGAGGTTTTCTTGTCTCATGCCCAGATTTTCTCATTTTGAACAGGATGCTATGAGCGATCAAGCAGTTGAAGCTCTGTCAGCCTCACTGGGCACCCGGGAACCGGAACCCGAGCTCGACCTCAGCTCTGTGACCGACGTTGATGAGGTACTGATCCGGGAGCTGATAGGTGCAGTTGTCTCAGCCTGAAGCTTACGAAACCGGATGCCTTACATATGTTTAAAATTCTGGCAAGGGTTTCATTTATTACAGATTGAAAATGAACTACTTTTCAATAGGCCTTGCTTTCAAATCCGGTTAATTTAGACATTTATTACTGGCGGTTAGCAACCCAGAGAGATATTTGAATGTTTGTCTTCTAAATTGCCTAGAATTTTCATATGTGAAATGAGCACTAATCTCCTATTTTAAAGCTTAAATAGTACCTGACTAAACAAGATAACAAGCGCAGCGGACTACACAAAAGAGCAAGATCTGTTTGCTTTCCTGGAAATCATTAGTGTGTATTTTCTGAAGGGTTCTGGGTATATTTCTTTATAAGAAGGGAGACAGAAAGGTTGGAAAAATCCTTCTTACATAACTGTGGGGAAAGATGTTGAGGAATTCACCTCAAATGAGAATAAAATCACCAAGGGTTACTCACCAATGAGCTGCTGCACATTTAAAGCATGATACACATGAGTGTTTATCTCACTACCCTTTGAGACTTCAACCAGCCTTCTGAGCCAGCATGACATGTCTCTGTGGTGGGAGAGTGTTGCTATTAAATTCCAGTTTTTGTAGAATTTTTCAACTTGGTCCTCTGAGGGAAATGAAGAAGGAAAGAAGAGTCATCTGTTCCTAACAGCCATGTCTTAGAGGAGGTAGAAATATCCCCCTCAGCTCAGGGAAGGGAAGCCTACAAGGGCCTGTCATAATGCATCTGCCTTTGACATCACTTCCTGTTCTAAGCTGTCATCACTGACCCTCAGGAATCATTTCCTGTGCTGGTCTATGATGGGCCAATTTCTGTCTTCTACTTTCTTGGAGGGCTCCCCAGCCACAGTGTGGCACAGCAGGCTGTGTGACCGTGACCACCAGGGAGCAGGAGAGGCAGCCCCTGCCCTTCAGGACCAAGTAATATATTAGAAGCAAAGGAACCATGACTACAACACTGTGCAAGACATAAATGACTTTGAGTAGCCACGTAGAAGCCACATCATCTCAGGGAATGGATGGTCTTGGTGGAATTCTGGGGAATGCAGAGGAGATTGAGTTGTGGTGTCATCACCCAAGGACTATATGGTCAGCGATAAATTACTCTTTTGTCTTAGGCTTTTTACACATAGAGTGATTTTATAAGGCCGTAAATGTGGGCAAGGAAAGTATAAACATGATATGAATTCCAGGACAGGAAGAATCTTACACAACTAAAACCAGATAAGCAGATGTTAAAAAGTGACAAAAAGAACTCACAAGGGGCCAGGGAGATAACTCAGTAGAATGCAAGGGCCTGAGTTCAATCCCTGGTTCTGCCAAAAAAAAAAAAAAAAATTCATGCAGTAGTGTGTGTAACTGGTTTAGGGGTGCATATGAAATGTATTGTTTCCTCTAGCGAAGCATGAATGGTAGCAAACTAAAATTCCAGCCAAAAGAGCATCTTTTCCACTCTTACGACATTCTAGTTTCCTTTTTTTTTCTTCTTGCAATTTTAGTATAGGATCTGCAGGGTCTCACTACGTAGATCGGACTCGTAGTGATCCTCCTGCGTTCAACCTCCCAAGTGCTGGAATTACAGGCATACGCCACCACGCCCAGTATCAGTGGCTGGCTCAGGGAGCCCTGGGGCAGGGCGGGAGCAGTATGTGGTACTGGGGAACAAACCTAGTCCCTGTGCTTGCCGTGTGTCTGCCTTAAGCAGGCACTTTAATACTCTGAGCTATCCGGCCGGCCCTGTCACCAGCCCTTGACATGGGAGGTGTGTGTGTGTGTGTGTGTGTGTGTGTGTGTGTGTGTGTTTGCTTGTTTGTTTTTATGTATTTAGTACAGAGTCCACAGGTTCTCACTACACAGATCGGACTCAGTGATCCTCTTATTTTCAGCCTCCCAAGCGCTGAGATTACAGGCACACACCACCATGCCCAGTCTCAATCATGTACCAGTGTGCCCTGGGGGCGGGGCCAGCTTGGCACACCAGGGATCAAACCCCTGACCCCTGGGTCTGCCTAAGCAGGCACTTTAGTCCTCTGAGCTATCTGGCTGGCCCTGAGTTTCCCTTTTTAATCCTATGCAAAACATAAATATTTGTTTGTAAGGGCTGAGGCTGTGTTTCAATTTTCTAGCTTCTTGAACTGAATCCATAGCTGCACTGGATTGAAACTAGGCATTTTAAAAGGAACAACAAAAATCTCTTTATCTCTTCATGAGGGTTATCATGTAGAAGAATAAAACTACAATTCCAGGGCTTAAAGTAGGAACTCATTGGAAATGCCTAATGAATTTTAAAAATTAATCAACTAATGAATCAAGTGGGAACTGCAGTTGTGAGTGACATGTAGATAGAAGCCGTGGGTTGGGTTAGGAAACTGCCCGTTATGGTTTGTAATTTAAAGTTGTGGCTTCACACAGTTACCAATTATTACACTTTATGGAGTACTTCCCTACTCCCCAGTAGATTCAGTCGACAGTGGTGAATTGTATAAGTCAGCGGTCTACTCCACACCTACACTTTTATTTCTGATATAATTAGTTGTCTATGCTCAGTAACCAGTAAAGTGCTGGTATTATTAAATGGAGTCTTTTTGAAAACTTGAGGGGCCGGGGAGATGCCTCAGTGGAATAAGCGCTTCCCTGGCAAGCACAAGGGTCTGAGTTCAATCCCCGGTTCTGCAAAAAAAGAAAACTTGACACCAGTTTGTACTTAAGCCAGGATCTGTGATGAGACGTTTCTCCCTTTCTGAATTGGGTTTGAGAATCGGTTGTGTGCCCTCGAATCAAGTAGATAAAGACTACAAAAATAACTGCAGCTAGCTTCCACCCTGAGCTTCCTGTCCCCCATGTATCCTTCATTTGCTTTTCTCTTGTGAGCCAGTGAGTTTAGGGAGGATCATCAGAATCACATTTTAACAGCTGGAATTTTTTTTTTTAATATTATGTAATTAGTACAGGGTCTACACGGTCTCACTACACAGATCGGACTTGTAGTGATCCTCCTGTTTTTCAGTCTCTGAAGTGCTGGGATTACAGTCCCGCGCCACCACGCCCAGTTCCAGTGGCTGTTTTAGCGGGGCCGGCATTTCCAGCTGAATAAAGCAGCCCAAAGACAGGCTGGGTGACTTCCCAAGGTCAGAGGCCCGACAGCAGCCAGGACCTCGCTTCCTAGCTGTGCTCCCGGCCCTGCTGCCTGGCTCCTAGCTGCTCACCGTGCTCTAGGGCTTTGTAGTTTCCAGAGCTCTGCTGGCCGCTGTTGTCTGATTTGGTGTCTTCTCCGGAAGTGGTAACTGCTTTCTTTTTCTCCCCATTTTCATTAGGCAAAATCTAAAGAAGAAAAACTAAAGAAGTGCGGTGAGGATGAGGAAACGGTGCCATCTGAGTACAGGCTGACACCGGCCACGGTACGGTTTGCCTGCACGCGGCTCGCTTAGGACGAGGCTGAGCCTGCTCAGCTGTCGGCTCCGAGAGCCCGCCCGGGCCTGGTGCTGTGCGCTCGTGCGGTGGCCTGCCCGCCTGGCCTCCGCAGGGAGGCGTGCCCAGTCGCCTTCCCCCAGATTCTAGTGCTTTCTACTCACCGTGCTGGCCCTGACCTTCGCCTTCAAGCTTAAGGGCAGTTTGGGAATCATGTTCTTTCTAAGTGTAATAAAACACAGCGTAGATCTTCTAAATGGGACCTGTAAATGTACAGTGACTTAGACATACCTTCAGTACTGAGGTAGTTGTGCTGTTTTGATTTGTGGTGAGAGTGTAATTACGTGTGTAATTTATCTTTGGAAATATATATAAATCCGAGATAGAAAATAGCTGTGATTTACATACATCTACATCTGAAATTTTCCCATTTTTTGAAATTTTCTAAATTGTGAAACTTCATACTTAAAAAAATTAAATAGTATTTATTAAGTAATGATATGGTATGATATGATATGATGTTATATATCTTCATCCTGGGTTAGAGAATTGAGACTTTTGAAAAATTTTTCCATTATGTGATAGAGCTGTACTTTCTTCTGAAAGATCTTTTATAAAAATTATTATTGCATTGCCATAACAGGTAACAAACACCTTTTCAATAACTTTTTTTTTAACTGTTAAAGTAATGGAGATTAAACCTAGGGTCTTCACTGATTACATCCTTGTAGTCCTTCTTTACTTATTTCTATTTTGGAGATGCACTCTTGCCGACCTGTTGTTACCCAGGCTGGGCTCAAACTTGGGACTGTGTTGTTTCCATCTCTTCAGTAACTTCTCAGGGGAAGCAACTGTGTGGCATATTTGGCCTTCTGACTTTCATAGCTCAACTCATTCTAATGCTTTACAAAAACTAAATCATAAATTTACTCAAATAAAAGAAAAAAATTAGTTTGTATCTCATATCCTAGAATTCTCACAACTGAATGTGATGGGTGGTGAAAGGAAAATTCTTAATTTTATTCCCAATGACTTTTCAATTTTACTTATAGGATAAAGATGGAAAACCACTATTGCCAGAGCCTGAAGAAAAACCTAAGGTGGGAAAAAAAAATTTTTTTTCTAATATTTGAAAAACAGGAGAAATATAAGGCATCAATTAAAATACTTTTTAAAAATTAAGACACTTTTGACAGATCAAACTTTGCAGGGGAGATCTAATGACACCCTAACATTGAGGGGGAAAGTTTTTGATGGTGACATTTGACTGTCTCTAGCTCCTGTTTATATACTGTAATGACTATTTTATTAATGAATTATTAGTAGGCTGTGAACTTCTAGGAAACCCTTATGGAACATTAGGAGCTGATGCCAAGGGGCTGGGGAGATAGCTCAGTTGAATCTGTGCTTGCCTGGCAAGCGCAGGGACCTGAGTTCAATCCCTGGTACTGCAAAAAAAAAAAAAAAAAAGGAGCTGATGCCAAGAGGGCTCTTTGACAAGATTGTTAGCACTTAGCACTTAGTTTATAGAATTTTATTAATTCATAGCCCTAGCTAAGAGGGCCTCTTTCCTGGAAAGATCTAGAAACAGAATATTCCTACCTCACACATGAGCATGAGAAAAGAATGTATGACCTGGGTTTCTTCTGACTTATTAATAAAACAAGTCATATAGTGTGCAATTTGGTTTGAAAAGAATTCTTCTGTAGTTGCAATACCAGGAAAACTTTCAATCAAATAAACCATTAATGCTTTTTGTAGCACTGAGGTATTTAGTATTTATTCTTAACTTACTTCATGACATTTTCATCTTGCACTGATAAATGAAAAGTATGCCCTGTATAAATTAGATTTTGGTTTTAGATCCTAAAATATGGCCTAATACATGTTAACCAGGAAAAATATTGCCCTAGGAGAACGTATTCTTACAAAGTAAACACAGTCCCTTACAATATACAGTGTTTCTTATATTACAGCCCCTGAGTGAATCAGAACTCATTGATGAACTTGCAGAAGATTTTGGCCGGCCTAAATGTAAAGAAAAACAGTCTAAGCCAACTGAAAAAACAGAGGTATGTTTCTGAAAATATGAATCTCTGGTTTTGAGAGTTTGTTATGTTTTAGTAGTCTTAAAATATGTGAAACCAAAGCTATTTTAGCATGAAGGAGTACGCTAGGAAGCCCTGTGTGTCACCTGTAGACGTGCAGTTTTGCCTTATCTTTTCTGGATGTGTTTTCTTTCCCCATGCTAATCCTCGTACTTGCAGTCGAGCCCTGCAGTTACTCCTCCAGGGAGGACCTCAAGCCTGTGCTCTCCTTTCTAGTTCTGCTTCTGTCAGGGACCTCACTGAAGCATCACCGCCTCCGTGGGATCTCAGTGGGTTTTCTCTTCAGTCTCCCTCTCCCCCATCCTTCATGCTCACCAGAATCATTCTTCCCGGAGCCTGCTGGTGACCACACCAGCCCCCGCGCGCGCCCAGGAGTTTCCCAATCGCTACAAACCAGAGTCCCTACCAAAGCGTTCTAGCCCCAGTCGGGCTCCGCGCAAGCTGGCTGGTTGCATCACGTGAGGATGCGCGCAGGTATCTCCAGGGTTTGGCTTACCCAGCTCCTTCTGCATGGACTCACCTTTCCTCCTCATTCTAGGGCAACTGAAGTGTTCTTCTAAGGTTCTGTTGGAATACGTCCTTTCTTTATCTCCTGCTTCCTCCGTCTCGTTGGGTGCCCACGCCTCCAGTCGGTGTTAGGGGACTGCCGCGTGGGCTGCGGGTTGTTGGTATTATTATACATCCCTGTGAAGGCACGTGAAGCAAGTTTAGTTCTATTAGTCTTTCATTTCTAACAGTAATGTGTAGCATTACATAAGCAGTAAGTTCTTTGAAAGTGGGGCTCACACCCTTTTGGTCATCTGCTGGATTTATATAACTGGATTTAAAACAGTTTCAATTTTTGTTCCTCTAGTAAGACAGTCCAGTGGTTCCACTTTAGCATGCATTTGGACTACCTGGAAGGTTTATTAAAACATGGTTTGTAGGGGTCTATCCCCAGAATTTCTGCTTTATTGCCCTGGTTGAGCACCCAAGAATCTGTATTCTAGCAAGTTCCCTTGTAGTGCTGAGGCCATTAGTTCTGGGAACAGCTGGAACAAAAGGGCTCCTTGGAATTCATGAAAAAAGGAGCCGGGGAGATGGCTCAGTGGAATAACTGCTTCCCTGGCAAGCACAAGGGCCTGAGTTCAATCCCTGGTTCCACCAAAAAAAAAAAATAATAAATTAAAAATAAATAGATAAATCTTACGGAATTCATGAAAAAATGTATATATATAATATATTAATATTTAGTAGGTATGTTTTACTTTGGTATATTATGACAAGAAACAATACAAATGGAATAATATAAATGCTAGCAACATTTCTCAGATGTCTGGAATTCACAGCGTTCCCAGGCACTGTGCGTAGCACACCACATGTGTTGTCTCCTGCGAGCCTCTTGTCCGCCCTAGAGGGCTCGGTGTTCGTGTTGTTTCCTCTTTTGCAGAAGCAGAGTCTCCAAGCTGCAATAGTGGCAGCTGGTGACTCAACCTCTTTGGCAGTCTTGATGCGCTCACCAGAATCATGCTCGTCACGTGTGATCTCAGAGGGTCGTGTGGCTCATCAGTGCTGTCCTCCTAACCAGTTCTGGCTTCTTTCTCCAGAAGTCTAAGGCAGCTGCTCGCGCTCCTGTGGCCGAGGTGGTGTCGTCCTCCTCCATGTGTAGTGTGCAGGCCGTGCCAGCCAAGCCAGCTTCCTCGGTGAGTGACGCCTGAGACGGACGCTGTGAAGGGTCCCGAGGCAGTTCTGCCCTTCCAGTACTTTCTGCTGTGTGTTAACCTGCCGTCTTATGATGTCTTTTATTCTGCGAGAATAAAGATAAAATCTGATACTGCTACTCACTTCTGTCATTCTCTAGGCTTCAGGGGTATGCTGGAAATGTAAGCCAGATTTAAATTTTTAATTAAATTGCTGTAAGCTATATATTTCTTTCATCTTCTGAAATTATTTATACTTCCTCAGCTATTGTCATAGCTCACGATATTCCTGAATACCCCTGCCTCTCCCTCTGCTGCATCTTTCAAGTCTTTCTGGAGTTTGACAGATAGCCTGAAGCTCTGTTTTCTACTGACTTTCCCAGTGGAATATAAAATTCACACCAAAATCATTATGACTCCTTTCTACTTTCCCAACTAAGTTTAGGAGGAAAGATTGACAGTTTTTTATTTCCTTCTTCATTTCTTATCTCCCTCTCCCTTTCTAAATTTTGTATGAAGTATAGTATAGTACTTAATTAGCTGATTCTTTGTTTCCTTTTTTTTTTTGTATTTTAAGGAAGGGTCTCCAGGGTGTTCTGGGTCTCACTATTAGATCAGACTCATAGTGATCCACCTGTTTACAGCCTCCCAAGAGCTGGGATTACTGACATGTGCCACCATGTCCAGGCTCAATCACTATCTCAGCACACCCCCGGGGGCGGGACCAGCACAGCAGGCCTGGGGATCGAACCCCTGTCCCCGTACCTGCTTACAGGCACTTTGATCAGCTGAGCTATTTGACCAGCCTTCTTTGTTTCCTTTTGATGCAGTGGTTGTTGTTTACACTGGACAATGATAAAAGGTGATGCAGAGAATAACTCTACTGATTAATTCAGTGTGAAAGTCTTCACACTGAATAAATTTCCTCATCGATGATGCCATTTAGCTCTTTATGCTTTGCAGGATTTTCTCATTTAATATTTACAAAAACATTAAACTCTGTTCTGATCATCATAAGATGAGAGCAAGATGAATGAAGGGGAAATGAGGTTAGGAGCTGCCTTTGAGCAACCAGTCCAATATTTCATAACTTCAGCTGAGCTCAGAGGTGTGCCTGCTTTGTGGTATGGTTCAGCCATTCTCATAGGGAAAAGGGGCAGATGGAACATGGGCAGAGCGGCCCCCTCCGTGGGGAACCAGGAAGGGTTTGCAGGGGAGCAGCAGTGAGAAGTGGGAATAGGAACATTTTCAGGGGTGTCATGAGCCAGGACAGACTACGGCAGAAATGGGAGGCACTTGGCCGGCGTGGGACATGTGCGTTCAGTTGCTTAAGAAACAGAAGAGAGTGGAGCTCAAGCGTTTGAGTGCTGTGGAGTGACTGCCCCCTTCCAGGGCAGCCTGTGGTGCTGGCCGCACATCCTGGGAGTCCCAGGTCGCTCCTGCCTTACACGGGGACTGATGCGTCCCCATTGAGCTGTGAGTGTTTTTGAGGTTTCAGGGACTCTCTAGAAGCTTTTACTTGTAAGAGTTGGCCCCAAGCCATGGTGGTAAGAAGAGGAGAGAAGATAATCTAGGGAGAGTGGTGAGCAGCAAGAGGTAGTTATTGGAACAAAAAAGACAACCAAGAGCTTTCCAGGTAGAGTTTGTGAACCAAACTAGCGCCGTGTTCGCATGCCAAGAGTAATTGTCAGGCAGGGCCTTCGGAGGCTTGGCTTACCAACTTTATTTTGGTCATAGAGGATCAAACATTGGGAATTTAGTGGAGAGCAAAAGCGTTCTGGTCTGTTCCCTGCAATCCTTCCTGGATCTCCACATCATCGACTCAGGCCACAGCTGACAAGGTTACTGTCACTGAAGCAGTTGGCATGTGGGGGATTTGACACCATGGGAAGCCAGAAATCCTAGTGGGTCAGAGCCCTCTCCAAAGTGTCTGGATCCATGAGGAGAGCGAAGGAGGAGAACACATGACCAGAGAGGCTTTGTGAGTGTGCAAAAAGAAAATTATTAAGGAAATTTAGAGCCCTGAGTTCTAGTTCTGAATTTGACAACATGAAATACTGCAGAAAGGAAATTTGTTGGTGCCAGGACCTGTTTGCAGATTCTTTTATTCTTAAAGCTGCTTCTCCTAGTTTTTCTTTAATTTGGTTTTAGTAATGTCTTAAGTCAGAGGGTTACAAAGAGTGCAGGCTTGCGAAGTGGTGGTTTCCAGAGCTCACGGAATGAGAAAACAGAGCGGAAGAGTAAGCATGTTTCTTCGGTCGGGCAGCAGCCTAGATTGTCTGCAAGAGACTTGGGTACCAGTGCAAAACCTGCAAGTTAGGTGTGATCCCAAGCAGTTCATAGACGTCAGGGATTTTAAAAAGGGAAATTTGAAAAAGTTTATGCAAAGTCTAACCACTAGGTGGAGGTAAAGCACTTTCCAGTTTGTGTCCCCTCCCGTGGATGAACCTTTCTTCTGGAGTACAGTGCAGCAGAAAGACCCTTCTTTAGCAGAATGATGCCTAAGATATATACGCATATATTAATACATATTTATTTTACATACAAATATATAATAAAAGTATCTTAGGAAGGCATTTTTATTTATCAGGAAGATATTTTTGTTAGATGCTTGATGTGGTATCAATGATTTTCTTTTTTTTAATTTATATTAATTTTATTGAGAAAGAAATAGTTATGAGATAGTGTCAAAACAGGTTAGTAGGACAGTTACAATAATTAATAAACACATTGCATATTGTTATCTTTGTAGTAGTTATTCATAGTACAAGATGCAGACATGATATCTTGTCTAAATACTATTAGTACAAAACTTTCTTCTCATTCACTAAGAGAAAGTAGCTGTATGTCTATGTTGTTTTATATATACATGTATACATATATTTTTTTTCACTACAAAATGGTCCTTCATTTATTTAAAATGTTTTCAATGATTTTCATGGCAGGAATAAACTCTGAGAGCTGGGGATGCAGCTCACTGGTAGAATGCTGGCTTAGCATGCACACAAAACTCTGGATTCAATCTCTGACACTAAAAAAAGATTGAAAAGAAAACCCCAGACTGGCTAGTCTAAGGGTGTTCCTGCTTTCACTTGACTAAGGTCAACAATAGAAAACTTACTGGCATTGCAACCTACTACAAAAAGAAAAAAAAAAAAAGCAATTCACTGAATGACACTTCACCATGCTGTGTAGCCATTCTGTTTTCTAGCCTATTCATTTTAAAGAAAAAAGTCCTGGCCAGGAACCATTCCATTGATTTTTATGAGCCACTACTGTATGGACCACTAGAAGAAGCCAGAACTAATCTTGTCTTTTGGCACTAATTTGGTCTCTTCTTGTATGCTCGGTGTTCATTTGTTCATTTTAATACCAGCGTGGCCCGAGCCCCTGACCTCATGAGAGAGCATGTTTTATTTTTTAATTTATTTTTAGTGTATTTAATCCAGGGCCTCACTACATAGCTCGAACTCAAAGTGATTTTCCTGTGTTCAGCCTCCCAAGAGCTGGGATTACGGGCACACGCCACCACGCCCAGTCTCAGTTGCCATCTCAGTGCACCCTGGGAGCGGGGCTGGCACGGCACAATGGAGGTTGAACCTGGCCACTGCGTCTGCCTAAGCAGCCACTTTAGTCCAGGGAGCCATCAGACCAGTCCTACGTTTCATTGTAAAAGCCCGGAGCACAGCAATCAGTTGTTATAGTCCCCTCAGGTCAGTTTCCAGATAGGAGAAGCTGGAAACTTCACTCCTCACAGCCCCGTTCCTCCTCCCCTGACCCCAGCCAGGCCGCATCTGCAGATCTCTCCTGCGCTGTCAATGGAACCGTCCTTACAAAGACCACTTCTCTCTTCTTTCCTGGCTTTCAGCTTCTCTTACCTCGCTTATCTTCTTTGTTCCTAAACTGAGGATCTGTATAGATTTGTAAGCTCCTCACTATACACATGTAATGTTTTAATGCCAATTCTAATTCAGTGGCTAATTCCGAGTATTAGAAGGTGGTGGATGCCTGATTCTTATCTAGGCTTGAAAAAAGGGCACACCTTTCTGAATTGTTTGAGGGGGTCTGCTGTGAGAGGCGTGCCTGGGCTCCCGCTTAGCATCTGTACCTCTGTCCTTCCAGACGGGCACGGAGGAGGCGGTGGAGGCCTTGGCTGGTAGCCTGGGGCGAAAGGAAGCAGATCCGGAAGAGGCCAAGCCTGTGGTGGATAAAATCAAGGTACGGCACTTCAGGTACTTTCATAAAATGACTATTATTGAGCACCCACCCATGATTTTTTAAAAAAAATATTATCCACAAAACATGGCCAACTGGCTTTTGCTGTTACTGCTCACGCCCTGTAAACTCATCCTAGCCTGAGGAAGCGCCGGTGTTAAACACCTCAGTGGACGAGTAGGCTGTGTCCGGGCTCACGTCTGCTCACCTGCACTCCCAGAGGACCCCAGGGAAGCTGCAGCTGCTGCTGCTGCTCCTGACCACCAGCCCCTTTCCCAGCACGCTGCGTGGGTGGTCCAGGCCTGCTAAGACTGGATACTCGGTCAGATTCAACCACTGACGAGTCTCAGCCCAGAGCCCTAGGAGTGCGTGAACCAAAGGGCAGAGCAGATCGCTTCTGGTGTAGGCACCCGGGTGTCCATCTCATAGAAGAAAGAGACCTGAACAGTGAAAATGCTCTGGTCTTTATTCAGGAGAAAGCCACAGAAGAAGATCGTGAAAAACTGGGTGAAAAAGAAGAGACAATTCCTCCTGACTACAGATTGGAAGAAGTCAAGGTAAACAGAGGGGGATATTGTCAGACTTTATCTTAAATGTGCTCTATTTAAAATAGAGTACACATGGGAATACATCTGGGAAAATAAAGTTCTTGGTTTTAATATTTAATCACTAAATGGTATTAGTCCACAAATACCCTGTGGGAACACCCAGTATAAAGCTATAATACGCATAGTTTTTCAGTCCTCTGGTAAGTGAAAGAAATTTCATGGCTGGGCTATATATGTTTTCCCTTCAGTTTGCTATAACGCAAGAACGTGTAAAGTCTTGGGCTGGGGAGATAGCCCGGTGGCCTAAGTACCGATCTAGCAAGCCCAGGACCCGGGTTCAATCCCCAGTACTACATGCCATGCTGGCCCCATAACCAGGTGTGGTGGTGCACACCTGTAACTCCAGCGCTGGAGAGGCTGAGACAGGAGGATCACGATGAATCTGAACTGTGTAGCAAGACCCTGTGTCAAATAAAAATAAAGAAATATAAAATAAAATCTGGTGCAGGTAGGAAATACAAAAGGAAAAACAATTATTTGCTCCTAGGAACAATTGTAATTGAACTTCGTTAATTAAATGCAGTCACTTAAACAGGGCGGATGCGGGGACATACAAACTCTTCATTGAGTGTGGCAATGGGCAGGTATAAGGTCTACCCTCAGGGAGCTGCGGAGGTTCTGGGAGACCAGAGGTGAGAGTGGTGGGTGGGTAGCAGTGCGGCATTCAGACGTGAGACCGCGTAAGCACCCAGAAGCCTCAGAGGGGGATGCAACTACCTTGGGATAAGTAGTCAGGAACAGCTAATCCCTGAAACACAGCTGTTGAAGTTCTGTGAAGACAGAGAGCAACTCACCAGCCACCTACAATGAGGAGTAGCTGCACTTGACGTGTCTTCCTGAATGAGGGGAGGGAGAGCCGTTTCATTTTGTGTAGCAGCGAGATCCCCCTGGTCCCGTGAGTCGTACGGCTCATTTACTGCCATTGCAGCGAGGTGCCGGTTTAGAGCAGGCTCAGGCCCTGGACTGAAGGGCATCGGAGGACACATGTGACCTGCAGAGGAGGAGGGAAGGGGTAAAGGAGCGAATGTGGAGGGACGCAGGGGCCATCTCCAGACCTTGTACCACACATTTTAAAATAGGCCCCAAAATGTGTAAAACCCCACTTTGACAATGTTCTCAGGAGAAATCTCCAGATACACCCTTGTATATTTGAGCGTCTGTAAGTAAACAGGATGTACAGATCTTCTACTGAATAGCGCAAATGATTTATCAGTCTTGTCCTGCTCAGAGGTAGCCCTTAGAGTCAGGTAAGGCTTGATATAATCTGAGCCTGGAGCTTCAGCGCATCCCAGCCACGAGACAGGCCCCTGCGAGCAGGATTTGCTTCTGTTTTTGTGCATTCCCAGTGCTTAGGTTAGGGCTTGGCATGTAATTATTGCATGTTAGTTCAATGCGTGTTTTATGTAGTTTGCCAAAATTTTTCCAGCAAACCTCTTCAAAACCCACTCCATAAACACCACTGTGCTGAAGAAATTGAACTTGATGGCAGACAAGATGCTCCCTCATATGCCCTTTTGCCTACACATAGTCAGGCCTATACCTTTATGGTGGTTACTTCCTGCTTTCTGTCTTGCATATTATTTTACTTACTATACATGCTAAATAAAATAGTTTGAAGTTGTTCATATTAATTTTATATAAACGACATCATAAAGCAAAAAAAAAACACTCCAGGTGTGTGAGGGGTTTGTCTTCCACTGTCAGCAAATTCCCGTCACACCACCGCATGCCACAACATTGGTTGTGTGTGCTTCTCCTGCACTGTGGGCCTCTGGGGCTTTGGAGACCACAAGCCATGCCTGATGTGGTGTGCAGACCCCGTGCCTTGGGGATCCCGCATGCGTGTAAGCAAGCTGTTAAATAGCACCTTTCTTTGCCAGTAGAACATTCCCTGCAATGATGAGTCCAATTTAAAGTATACAACAGAAGCTATAACCTGTGAACTCTTTGCAATGAGTGCAGGATTCCTAGTTGAGGTGGAGTGTAAAATGACTCAATGATGTTTTTTCCCTGAACAGGATAAAGATGGAAAACCACTCCTGCCAAAAGAGGCCAAGGAACCACTTCCAGTAAGCAAGCCAGTTTTCTACAAGTATATCTCTTTCCTTTTGGCATCGATCCACATTTGATAGTTTGGGAAGCAATGGAATGTTAGCCATAAAGAAAAATGCAGTACTGAAATGGGCTGTGCTGTGGATGAATCTTGAAACCATTATGCTAAGTGAAATAAGCCAGTCACACCACCACACGCTGTGTGACTCCACTTACGTGGGAATGTCTAGGCAGACCTAAGATTAACGGTTGCTTGGGATTGAGAATAGAGTTGATAGCAAAGTGTACAGTTGTCTTTGGAGTGAATAGATATTTTCAAATATTGATCTTAAGGGTGGTTTCATATATATTTGAGTACTGCTGAATATCATTGAATAAAACTGTTTAGTTGTGCATGTTTTTTAAAAGTTGGGGGAGAAGATGGCTTTTCTTTACTGAGCCAGTTAGCGTGTGGTAGTGACACTGGCTGGAACAGACAGATGGCATTAGTTTTCACGGACAGCTTTTCCGGTTTTTGCAGCCCATGACTGATGACTTCCTTCTCGATGCCTTGTCTCAGGACTTCTCCGGTGCTCCGAATACCTCCTCTCTCGTAAGTCTCAAGCTCCTGGTCTATTTTTGATGGAAACTTGTAACTTACAGTCAGACTTGGGAGCTAAGGAGACAATTATGAAATTAATGGTCCTCAACCTACTATAGCCAATAAAAATATGTTCTGCCCTTGAGGATTGTTCTGTAACAGTGGGAAGTGTTTCCACAGTCTCTTAAGTAGATCTGTGAACTTAGGCTAATACCAAGTACTCATGAGAAAGAAGTTTTAATTTATCCAAAATCACTTCTTAATCGACTGTATCTGTTATTTCTAATGTTTATCATTTTCCAGATTTCTTCCTGAGGAAGCTTAGTCCCCTTAAGGGCATTCTTTTCCTGGAATATTTGGACAATGTTGAGTAATAAACAGCAAGTAGGCTTCTCTACTGTAGGATGTTTATGTCTTACAATAGGCAAATGTTCAAGTCTGTTATACACTTCTCAACTTCTCAAACATACAGACTCTAAGGTATGGATTATCCTAAACCCAAACAAATCTTATAAGTAATAGCACATCCAGTACTATAAGCCACAGTATATGCTAAATTTTCTATGCTACGTTCCACAAAGGGATCTGTTAATAGGCAGCCAGTTAGAAACACTTTAACAGATCCCTTTGTGGAACACAGCATAGAAAATTTACCAGTTGGAAAGTAGGATAAGAAATGTTGGGGCCAGGGAGATAGCTCAGTAGAATAAGTGGTTGCCTGGCAATCACAGGTTCCTGAGTTCAATCCCCTATACCTCAAAATAAAAGATATGTTGATTCCTTGGACTTGCCTGAATATCTGCTCTTGCAGAAGCAGTAAGCCCTCAGGAAAAGGTCACACTACCCAGTGCATGCTCCTTGCTGCACCCCTAGAAGCACCATATATGCAGTCGCCCCAGCCCAGGGTCTTCCTCTTTTCTGTATAAGCAGAATGCATCTCAAAAAAGGCACTGAAGGCCTGGCTTAGAAACCGTAAGATACAGGGAAAGAGACAGTTTGTATCCTGGAATGATCTAATTGTACTATGCAGATCCTGCAAGCCAGTGGTGGGGAGGCAGGTTTCTTGTTCATTGTGTCGCTGTTGTTACTGCCATAGTTAGGGCTCTGTTCAAGAGTCCAAACTGGACCACTGAGTTTACATGGCATCCACACAGCCACCATGAGAAGGTGTTTAAGCAAACAAAAGCTTTGAAAAGGTTTAAAAGAACTACTCTTAAAAATTAACAGTTAGTTAAGTTTTAATGCCAATAGTATAGTTAATAAAGTAAACATAACCAAAGAATCATATGAACAAACTAGGAAATTATGTAGGGAATAGACCCAAGAACTTTACAGGGGCAGGGGAGGAATCATGTTTTTGATCACAGGAAAATGGAGCAGAAATTCTATTTAAAGATAGATATTTAAAAATATTCTTCTAATAATACTGAAATCAAGAAGTAAATTCAGAATAGATTACTTTAAAAAGCCAAGATGATGTTGTAAATCAGTCTTTGAGAAGCAGCAAAGCAGTAATTGTGAGATGTATCTGTTATCATAAATGCTTTTATCAATCATGGAAAGGAGGGGTGGGGAGATAGCTCAGGGGTCTAAGCACCCGTCTGGCAAGTGCAAGGTCCTGAGTTCCATCCTGAAACTGGGCATGGTGGCATGTACCTGTAATCCCAGTGCTGGGGAGGCTAAGACAGGAGGATCACTATGAGTCCAAGCTGCGTAGCAAGACCCTGTATCTAAATAAAAAAAGAATGGTTTTTAAAAATAAAAATAAATGTTCTTGATGATTGTAATGAAGATAATAAAATGGATAATTTATCAACTGTTTTTTTTAAAAAAAAAGTATATGTTCTGTAACAATGGAAAGGAAAACTGGACAAAACAAAAGGGTGCTGAATTGAAAATTGACGTGTTTAGGAGATATGGTGACTACCTGGAGGGAAGCCTGCACCCTCGGAAGTGCAGCCCCAGGCCAAGCAGGAGGTGCCAACAGCCATGGGGATTGTTGCTTTAGAAAGTCCTTTCTAAGATGCTGGCAACTGAAAGGAAAACAGATCCTATAAGTAAGATTGTAAAGCGAGAGCAAAGCAACAGTTATTGCAAGAGAGTGACTGAATTATTGATAGGTCAAGGCCAATTGTCAGGTGGTTTTATGAATGTCTAATACTTTATGAAACACTAGCAAATATAATAGAGAAAAAAACTTTAAAATAAGGTGAAATGTAATGCAAAAATTAGAATATATGACAACCAGTACAAGAGCTAAATTAAATTATTAGGAAACATTGTGTGCAACAATTCTCTATGACATTTAAACAGAAAAAGCAAAGTTATAATTCATAAAACCTAAACAAAGGAAAACTGAAGAGGAAATTAGGCCTGTTCTTAAGCTTTCCTTCCACCATAGGTTTAAAGATAATTCTTTTAAATATTTAGCATTCAGATAGTTTCCAAGTGGCATAAGAATGTCACAAAAAGGTGGTGTTCCATGTTGCTCCTAGGAGTGATTATGGTACAAAACTTAAAACCCCACTGAATACTAAACAAAATCACTTAAACATTTAGATGTTAAAAAATTGCTAAAATATCACTATGTGATAAAAATCTTTTTTTTTTTGAGGGCCAGCGGGATAGCTCAGCAGACTAAAGCTTCTGCTTAGGCAGATGTAGGGACTGGCTTTCGACCTCCATTGTGCCTTGCCAGCCCCGTCCCTGGGGCACGCTGAGACAGTGATTAAGACTGGGCACGGTGGTGTGAGCCTGTAAGCCCAGCACTTGGGAGGCTGAAAACTGGAGGATCACTATGAGTCCAATCTATGTAGTGAGACCCTGTATTAAACACATAATAAATAAATAAAGTATGGCATTGTGGGTATAATGTTCTGTACAACATATTACTGATAATTTTTTTTTTTTAATGAAAGAAATTCGACAATGCAAAACTTTCTGCTGCCATCTCGGAAGTGGTTTCCCAAACTCCAGCTCCAGCCACCCACTTGGCAGGGCCACCCCCAGACACGGCGGTAAGTGGCACATCTTATTTGGGAGATAAATCTTTGTTCTAGCAGCTGCAACAAGAAAGCGAGTAGGATAGCTTCTCAGAGCGCATAAAACAGGCAAAATTCTTAGATCAGTACCTTCCATTTCAGAAGAGCTTAGATTTGTGATTTAGGGAGATGATAGAAAGTATATGTAAAACGATTAGTGATATATTCACATATTATAGTCAAAAAATTTAATATTACTGTTGCTTTATTAGAATTACAAATGCAAAGTAAATATTGTGTATATACTTCTGTACTAGATTTAAAAAAATTCCTACCTTACTTGATCATTGTTTCTTTATTATTTGTTCCATGCTACAATTTTCTATCCACTGCTTCACATCGCTTATTTTATGGAATTGTTTAAAATCTCTAGAATTAATTTATAAACATGCCGTGAAGTGGCCCGGCTTTCCTCTCATTCACACCAGTAGAAATGTGTCATTTTCATGCTAGCAGTAGGGAAACCTGGGCCTCAATATTGTTTTAATTATGTACATGTTCCGAGGCGAGGCTGGGGGACCAGAGCTTTGCCAGACCTTCCTGATTAATTATCTATGCAGTACCAAGCTGCGCATTCTCCCCTGCACATCAAAAGACTCCGGGTCCACCCGCCAGCCGCGTCCTCTCGGGCCGCACACACTGCCCTGCTTGCTAATGGCGCTGAGTGAACTTGCTGTCGCGAAGTCCGCTCTGCTTTCTTTCTTTCTGATGTAGCATCAAAGCTTCCTTTGCGCCATAGTTTTGAGATTCTGATGGATTTTTCCCCCTGCTGGGTCGGCTCAGGATCATCTGAAAATATCCAGAGACACAGCTGACAGAGTCCAGACCGGGCCCCAGTTACCTCTGCCCTTAGCAGCTGTGAGGATGGACTCTTAGGAAGAGCTTAAGGCAGCAAAGCGCGATGTGTTGCGCTAGTGGCGAGTGTGCATGTGTTGTGTGTGTGTGTGTGTATGTGTGTGTCTGTGAATGTAACCACAAGAACAAAAGTCCCTATGCAATAGGAAGAATCAGTAGTAACCCAGGCTGCCTTCCACATAGCTGTCCATTACCGACCAGAGGTTTTTTGCCCTCATCGAGACCATAAGTAAATATTGACCATCAGAATCCTTTCACCTCTAGGACTGTGCTTCTCACATCACTTTTCCTCACAGTGTCTTGTTTTAGTTAGTTTTATTCAATGATGTCAGTAAAACTAGGCAAAGGCTTTGTTTAAGTAAATTTACTTGAGTATCAAAGAGTCAACTAAACTGCCCCAGTTGCTGTGAGTTTTCTTTTCTCGGGTATTAGACCATCACCAGCAAGGCCGCTGTCTAAAGAGTTGTGTAGTAAAATCACCCAACAGGAAAATCTTATTCGGAAAGACACGGAAGATTTTGAATACGATTGAGCACAACAGGGAAAAGCTCTGTGTGTTCTTGGTGCAAGGATCTGGGTCGTGTGCCACTCACTTTTTAACAACGTGACTTCAGACAGCAGAGTTAGATTCCCTGAGTTAGCTTGCTTCCTAAAAAAGAAAAAAAAAAAAATTCTACCAGTTTATCCAGAAAATTGCTATGGGCATGCAGTAGAACGGAATAAAACTTAAAATAACTGGGAAGTTCTAAACATGTTAAGTAGAACCCAGCAGTGTGGCTTGCATAATGCAAACATTAAACGCTTGTCATAAAAATAGAGAAGTCAACATTTTGTTTACATTGGTTTTGAAAAGTATTCTTGGGATTTTGGTATAATGCAATTAATAATAATGTATAATTTACTGGGTGTCAACGTAGATAGAATCCTCTCATCGACTTATAAGTAGCAGTAGTATTCACATTTCACAACTCAGGAACTTTGGGCTCAGAGAGATTAAACATCCAGCCCGAGTCTTACAGTAAGCAAATGTTCAGGGAAATAAATAATTTTAGATTGCTGAACAGTTCAGAAGTTCTCTTCAGTCTTTTAAAGCCCCTTATCCCTGATGCGGCAGGAAGCCCTCTGTAGTAGTGACCCCAGATTGTCGCTGAGGTTTGTGCTCATGCAAGTGGGAGGTGCTGGCGTCTATGTTTCCCACAGCCTGTGTCTGATCCTGCTGTACTTCATGAAATGTGCCAGCCTGGATCTGGTCTTGGAGTGTACTCATAAAGCCAAAGGAATGTTCATCCTCTTTTGAAAATGTCCGCTTATTAAACATTTGACAGCATCATAAGATTGCACCATACCCAGTTTTTGTTTTGTTTTGTCTTATTTGTTTGTTTGTTTTGTCATGTTTCATTTAAAAATAAGAAAGATTGTGTTTTTTGGCTTAGAACCCTCTAGTGATCTCCACGAGGTCTCTTGCTGGAGCGTGGTCCCCAACACTGCCTCTAAGACTTCCGTGGGCTGGAGGGCGGCAGTCACCAGGGACCTGGGTGGGCAGGCAGCGGGTGGCATTTGCCTCCAGCCCTATTATTAGGTTTACAGATGTTGCCACTCTTTCTCCCTTTCACTGGTAGCACTTCTTGGACTCTATTTACCTCTTAGTCACATGTCCAGGTGTCTCACTCTTCCAGTAAACCTTAAACAGTGGGGTTTCTGGGCTGATTGGCTTCTGATCCAATTTGCCTCACCATTGACTAATCCAGAACCACTTGCTTTTTAGAAGCGTGACAAAGAACTGGACGATGCACTGGATCAACTTTCGGACAGTCTTGGACAGAGGCAGCCTGACCCAGATGAGAACAAACCAATGGAGGATAAAGTAAAGGTGAAAGAAAATCACTAATGAGCTTGATTTTTAAGGTTTTTGTAGCGTAAAATACCTTATCATAAGAATATTGATGTGAATCAACCTGTATTTGAAAAGGAAAAGTATACCCATGCAGGAAAATCAATCTGTGCTTCACTGGCAGGGTAAGAAGCACCACAGACTCTGGGCCAGAGACAGCAGAGCCCACGGGCGGGAATGCCAGGGTGGTGTGGCTTATCTCCAGTGGCCCAGCCACATGTCCATCCAGGTTGCTGATATCCAGCGCCTTCAACATTGCTGAAAATACTCAGGGCCAGGGATATAGCTCAGTGGCACAGGGCCTGCCTGGGGAGTGCAAGGGCCTGAGTTCAATTCCTGGTGCCAAAAAAAAAAAAAAAGTAAAATACTCCAACTAGTAAATATTGCCTCTCTATATGCTGAGGTACAGTGACCTGATTTTTCATTTGAAAAGTGAAACTCAAACCGATAAAAAAAATTCTACCTTGTCCTTAAAAAAACGAAACTTCTATTTTTTTTTTTTTTTTTTTTGTTTTAGGCTTTTTAAAATTATTTTTTGACTTTTTGAGACAGGGTTGTACTATTCTTTTCAGGCTGGCCTTGAACTCACTTTTGTGACCCAGGCTGGCCTCAAATTTGCAGTGATCTCCCTGCCTCAGCCTCTTGAGTACTGAGATTACAGGTACATGCTGCCAGACCTGGCCAAGAAAAGATCTTCTTACCGTAGTTTCCAAGGACAATTATTTAACCTTTCATTTCAATTTAAAACACAGAAAAATTATAAAAATGGGGTGACACACAGAAACGTGGGTTTATGGTTTTTCACCAGCTGCCTGTTGTCATCCATTTTGTTGTTCTGTTGCTTAAAAAATGAAAACAGACCATATGTTTTGCCTCAGAAAAGTACAATAAATGCTGGGGATGAAGGATTTTCTATGCAAAGAGGGAAATGAATGGTGATTCTCTCTGGCCACGTTTCCAGGAAAGAGCCAAAGCTGAACACAGAGACAAGCTGGGGGAAAGGGACGACACCCTCCCTCCTGAGTACAGACACCTCCTGGACGATGATGGGCAGGTAAGCCGAGCCCTGTGTGCTGAGACTGATGGCTGTCGCGTGTGCCCCGTGGGGCGAGCATGCTCTTAGATTTCTGTTGGTATTTATTTGGGCAAATGTCATTTTACATTCACATGTGGGACCCTGTGGTATAGACAATGTTGACTTAGGGCCAGTTATTTTCTATTACTTAATCGTGTTTCCTAGAAATGTAGAGAGAAGAATTATAGTTTCAAGAAAAGGCTATAAATATACCCAGCACCAAGGGATTTCAAAGGAAATGATCTCTAAAGAGAACAGAGGGCTGGGGAGATTTCTTGGTGGTCTAAGTGCCTTCCTGGCAAGCACAAGGTCCCGAGTTCTCTCCCTGGTACCGCCTGCTGTGCCAGCCCCAGAACCCCAGGCACACGTGCTGGCCCTGAAACAAGGCATGGTGGCACCTTTAATCCCAGTTCTGGGGAGGTTGAGACAGGTAGATCACTATGAGTCTGAGCTACGTAGTGAGACCTCGTGCCAAATAAATAAATGTTTGTTTTTAAAAAAGGAGAGCAGAGAAGGGGCTTGTGTTGGGACACTTAATAGGAAAAATAAATATGACAACTCCAAGGCCACCTGGGTCTCCTGCCTCTTCTGCCACCGCACGACACACTGCAAGGGACATCCAAGCCCAGTTTTCATAGGGCAGCCTGCCCCCCACTCCCTATTTTTCCAATCCTTCTTCTGAGTTAATAAGTAATCATTTCCTGGGCTGCTCACGAAATCCAAAGAAATCCAAGTTCCATCCTTCTCTTTCAGGGCTGGTTCACATGGTGGGCGCTGTCAGTTCTTCTTGGTTACAGAAAGCATTCCCCAAGATAGTGATTCTGCTTCCTGCTGAGGATCCCCCTGCCCTGATAGAACTACCTCATCCAGCTTGTCATCTTTGGGGAATGTGCTATTCAATGCTCTTGCCTTTGAAGACAGGAAACTCCCTGGCTTATATTTTCATTCCTGTGGGAAGATAATCTTCTGATCCTTTCGAAGCGTAGTAGTACGTTAAGACATGGAAACATAGGTGCCTTTTGTAATATTTTAAGTAGAATTATAAAGTATAACATGTGATGGCAGAAAGTTTCTAGTGTCTGTTCCTTCTAAGACCGGGCTTTCATATCCCCCGAAAGCTACTGAAATGGTTACTGGGTTAAGCTGAGCTGCTAGGAAAATGGTAGAGACCCAGCCTTGTCAGTTACTACAGATCTCAACTCCTTCTTACCAAGTCAAGTCATTGCGCAAGAGTCTATGCATCCTGATTAGACTTAAGTAAACCTCTAAAAAGATGTAAGTTTAACCAATCGTCTGCCTTGCTTTTCAGAACAAACCAGCGAAGCCACCTACAGAGAAACCAAAAGAATCAAAGGTAAATACCATGGTATCATGTTTCCATGAGATGGTTTTGATTAATAGCTTTATTTCGCATTATAATTTTTTAAATTGTATTATTTATGTTTGCGATACATACTGATCCCGTTCTTGCCAATAGTTCATGCAGGGACTGAGCTCATCTTAGTTATTTTTTACCTCCCCTCCCCTTCCCTGCCCACCACTCTTTCCATTTCCTGGTCCCCTTCCTATTTACAAAAGATCTGTTTCCTGTTTTGTGTCATCTTTTATTTTTCTTTAAAAAAAATAAAATGTATTGACTGCCTGTCCTATGCTTGGTCCTATGTACCAAGTTCCGCACGTAAGTGTACATGTGCTCCTGGTCTGTTACTACTCACCAAAGCCCTGTAAGCCATGGGGCTATTATTTTGCAGGTAAGAACACTTGTGTTAAAGAGTAGGAGAAAAGAAAGGGGCCAAAATGTTTGTGATTTATCGTCTCCTTTGTATACCTCTGTAAGGAAAAGAATGTCAGGCAGACTTTCTCTTAATTATACTTCTTTTGTTTTGAAGTGATGTGGGCAGAGGGCCCGTGTAGTACTTTCCTTGCGCTTCTTCTTGATGGTTATTTCTGTTAATATCTCAGAAGCCTTCAGGTGACAAAGACCCCATTGATGTCCTCTCGGGAGAGCTAGACAGCTGTCCCTCAACTGCAGAAACCACACAGAACACAACAAAGGTAGAGCACTTTTTCATAGACTTTCTTTGAAATACAGATGGGAGTTTTGGGGAGTGTGCACATATATGTAATTTTAAATTAGAATGAAATGAATACTATGGAGTACCTAAAAATAGAGAAAAGGAAAAATATCTATGATTCCATTACCCCATACATAGTGCTGTTTGGTATATTTTCTCAGTCTTTTCCTGCAAGTATGTGTTACAAGGTTGTCCATTTATAACACATTGCTTAACCTCACATCATCATGTTTTCTATGTTGCTTCAGAATTTCCAGAGCCTCCACTTTTCATTACTGTACTGTGACGTTCCAGTATTGTACTGTGACAGTGACACTGACTGTGCTCATCTGCAGTGACAGTAGCCCCTGATTCCCCAGCCCTCCATGCCTATGTGCCCTCTTGGGCTCCTTTCCCCTTTCGTCTTGGCCCAGCCAGCAGACTCTTCCTCATCTCTTCAGGCCCTCGTCCAGCAGCCATGTCTTCAGGAAGCCCCCTCAGCACCCTCCCTCCCCGGGCTGAGCCAAGCAGCCCCTCTCGTGCTTAACCTCACAACACTAGCAGCACACCACTCAGCTGTGCTGATCCCTGGTTGTGAGCAGTCTCTAGTTCTTGCTCGGCTTTAGCAGAAGGCCTGGGATCCACTAGGCACTGAGACACATGTGATTAATAATGAGTGGGAAAGGAACATGTAATTCAACAACCGTGGGGATTTTACTTATTAACCACACACCCTTGCACATTAGGTGGAGGGTAGAGGGTATGAAATGAGTGTCCTGATCGTTCTTCTCAGAAGAATAAACTCTGCAGATCTCAGCTTGCTCTCCTTTGAGCTGTTGTTAAGCACAGCTCCCTGCTGTTGGCAGTCCTTTAGTGGGTGACTTCATTTCTAGACCCTGTTGGCCCCCTATTTCTCATACCTGGAAGCTCCTAATTAATACCATTATTTAGTAAATGTTTTTTATTTTTATGTATAACCTGTTCCAACTCTTTGCCTTATTACATTTTTCCACTGTAACACTGAAAATGTGTCATGGTTTGGCTTATTGGCACATAAACACCAGTATGATCAAGACAGCCTCTTTTTTTGTTACAGTTTTTAACAACTGTGTGTGTGTGTGTGTGTGTGTGTGCGTGTGTTTATTTGCAGTTTACAACATGATACATATAGATAGTAAAATGTTTGCTGTAGTGAACCAGCTAACATTATCTGCTTCTCAGGTTTTTTTGAGAAGAGAGAAGCTGAGACTACTTACTGAATAAGTCTGTAAAGTAATATAATTGTAGGGTGAGTCTTGATGGTGTATGTTAGGTCTCTAGACTTATTCATCCTACTTCTCTGCTTCTTGTCCCCGCCGCCCATGACTTCACATCTCCGCAGCGCCCCCTCACGGCCTCACCCATGATACACTGCCGTATCCAGCTGTGCATTTGAGAACTTGGTGTTGTTTTGTGGGTGAGACCATGCAGTACTTTTCTGTCTGTCTGACTCACTTTCCGCAGCACCCTCACCTCTGGATGCATCCGTGCTGTGGCAGACGGCAGGATCTCCTTTTTAAAGGCTGACTAGGAGACATGTATATACATATCCTAAAACTTCACCTGCCTGAGTATATTGAGTTCATTTCCACATTTTTGCTGTTGTAATACTGCAAGAAACGTGAGACTGAAGATATCTTTATGAGATGATGATTTCATCTCTCAAAAAAATTTTTATTAGATTTTTTGGTACAATTTTGATATTCACAATGGTCACATTTATCATAGGAAATTTGTACCTGTACATGGTGTATCCTGTTTACCTTCTTATCCCTTTCCAGTCCCCTCCTATCCCTTCAGCCTCTCTTCCTGTCACTTACAAAGCTTTGTTTTCATTTGGTCCTTTGTTTACCATATTTTTTAAGGTATACACCCAGAATGGAATTTCTAGGTAGTATGGTCATTTTATTCTCAATTTTTTTCAGGAAACTTAGTTCCTACCAAGTCATGCTTTGGGGCCTCTTTTCTTCACACTTTCGCCAACTTCTTATGTCTTGTCTTTTTATAACAGATAAATTCCATTTTAGTGAACAGAATAGGGTCTGGGTGAATCGCTGTCACAGCAGTTAGCAGAGTACCAGCGTGACCTGCAGTTCCCTACTTAGTTTTAACCTTTTTCTCTCCTGTCTTAAATACTTCTGTTATATTCACTGTTGTTTAAAAAATAGTGACTAAAATATTATTTAATTAAATTGGAGGAATACGGGCTACGACAAAGAATAGTTTAGTTTGGCTGCAGCCAATTGTTCATTGCTAGATGGACCAGCGATACCAGTGACTTTTCTACGTTACATTTGCTTTAGGACAAGCGTAGGAAGGGCGCTTCTGGCTCCAAAGCCCCCAAGAATGGAAGCCAAGCCAAGGATTCGGCAAAGGTAGGCATGGGGCAACAGGTGCACTACGGATTAGTTCAGGAATTACATGGAAATGGGATTTATCCTGTTTGTTATTAGGTTCCTTGTTTTAAGCTATTTAGAATAAATGATACGTAAACACTCCCTGTCCCCTGGCATACTTCACTAATGAAATTAGTTTTAAAATTATATATCTTTATGTGGGTGTGTATGTGTGTTCGTATTTTACATATGTATGTATGTATGTATATATATATATATATTTTTTTTTTAACTTTTTTTTTTTTTTTTGGTGGTAGCAGGGATCAAACTCAGGACCTTGCACTTGCCAGGCAAGCACTTATTCCACTGAGCTATTTCCCCAACCCCATATATATATATATATGTTTTTAAGTACCTACTACTTTAAAAATCTAAACAAGTGTTCTTAGTACCATTCAAGTTGCCTGCATTTCATTCTCTTATTCCGTTACCACCCACGCATGTAGTCTATATGAACTTGAGAGCAGGAAAGGTAATATATGACATCAGGGAAGGTATTAGTCTCTGGTCCAGTGTGTCATTCATTAGACAGCACGTGAGGAGATTCACACATAGCAGGACTACTAGTCCACATATTAGTTAGATTTCCATCATTACAGTGAATCCCTGAAACACAGCAGAGAACAGTTTTATTTCAGTCGGTGATGTGGGAGGGCCCCATCCATGGCTGATGGGCTCACTGCTCTGGTCCTGTGGCCAGGCAGCACATGTGGGGATGGGATGCGTGTGGCAGAACAGATTGCTCGCCACATAAGCCAGGGAGCGAAGAGGAAGAAAGGGGGTGCCACCGCGCTCTTTGAGGCACAGCCTAGTGCCTGCAGGACTCTCCTGAGGCCCTACCTCCTGAAGGTCGGGGCACCCCCAGAAGTGCCCCCTGGAGGACCAGCCATTTACAGGTGGATCTCCGAGAGACGTTCAGCACCCGACTTGCGGCAGTATGTAATGTTTCATGTCCTCTAGAAAGTAGAATGCAAACTAATGAATGAAAGTTACAGGGTCCAGCTTCAGTCTTAGATTTGGTCATTAACGGAGCACAACATTTGGGCATTTCCTATTAATAAAATTACTGAAGCTGTAGTCAGGAATGGACAGTGGATTAGACAATGTCTGTATCCTTTCCAATTTGAACAACATGGTTTGAACCAACACTCAAGGGTTATAACTGTACTTCTCTCTTACGAGAAATTAAAGACATAGCTTTAAAAACTCTAGTTAAATTGCATTCAAACTCTTAAAAACAAGACAAGTCTTATAATGGATTCCATGAAAAGACACAAGAAACATGGTAATTGATACTTGCTCGTGCCATTATATCTCAAGCATATTAAATATGTGTTTTTTGTTTAAGTTTAGTTATAACATAGTAGCTTATCAACCTTTAAACAAGAAACAGAAAAAATAGTAACCATGTACACCAAGTGGGTTAGCGGGGCAGCCACGTCCCCAGATACAGGCAGAGGATGGATTGCTGGAAAATGATGACCCACAGCTGTCCAAGAGAACCAGTGCACTTTTAAAAATTACCCGCATAGGTCTTTTTAAAGAATTAAATCTTGAATTAGAGTTTTAGGCTCACTGACTATTTTTAAGATTATTTTTACCTTAGAAATTTGAGAGAGAAGAATACAGTGTTTTGGCCAAGTGAAGAAGAGAAACTTGGAAAGGGTTATCTTAATTTTCCTCCACTGACTGCCAGCTTTTGTCCCTTTAATTCTGAGAAGCCTTATGAAGAAGGTTTATCTTCTTATAAACCTTCTCTTGTGGATCATGTTGTAAATATTTAATTCAGAAAAGAAAGACCTCACTGATGGGTTTGCTTTCCTTTCTAGAAAACGGAGGAAGGTTCCAAGCCAAAAGGTGATGAAAAACATACAAAAAAAGAAAAAAATACCAGTTAAAGTTGACAGGATCAGGTAAGTGGGGTGTGTGCTGTACATAAAGACCCTCCCTTTGCCTTTCCATAGCCTGTGTTTTGGGAAGAGAAACGAAGCCCACCTCTTTGCATGCAAAATTAGCACATTACAACTTTTAGTAAAATGTCCTCCATTAGTATTACCATAAATACCCACACAGGGCAGGATGGGGAGACGTATTCTTTAGAGTTTGGTGGAAATGGCAGGAATTTTAGAATACAGGCACAGGAAAAGATGGGCCACTGATACCTGTCTCAGTATCGGAAAGTAAGCTGCTGTGTTTCTTTCCAATGTATGGTGAATGAAGAAATCCAAAAAATGAAGGAATCTCTGAGATCCATCTTGACAGAGAGGTCCTTATCTAACTCTTCAGAGAGGAGATGCCTTACTCTAAGCCACAAAAGCACACTACTGCTTGCTACTGACCAAAGCCTACAAGAAATGAAAATATAGGTTAAATCAAGTTCAGCTCTTACCATAATCCATTTTTATTTCATACTGAGACATACTAAGTTAACTGCAAGATTTTTCTTAAAATTTCTTTCTTTCTTTCTTTCTTTCTTTCTTTCTTTCTTTCTTTCTTTCCTTTCCTTTCCTTTCTTTCCTTCCTTCCTTCCTTCCTTCCTTCCTTCCTTCCTTCCTTCCTTCCTTTCTTTTTCTGTATTTTAGGGAAGGGTCTATAGGGTGTTCAGGGTCTCACTACTGGATTGAACTTGTAGGGATTCTGCTGTTTATAGCCTCCCAAGAGCTGGGATTACAGGTGCACCACCATGCCCAGTCTCAATCACCATCTAAGCACGCCCTGGGAGCGGGACTGGCACGGCAGGGGCCGGGCTGGCACTTTCTTAAGTTAAACAAAAATTCTTGTTATCAATTGTCTTAGTACTCTTCTCTCGTTGCTGGGACTAATACCCGACACTCAAAATGAAGGAAGGAAAGGTTTATTTAGCTCACAGTTACTGGAGGGTTCAGTCCATACTCAGCTGGCGCCAAGGCAGAGCAGCACAGAGCAGAGGGCAACCTTTCATGGTGGCGGCAAAGAGCGAGAGCGCAAGGGAGGGGTAGCAGCAGCTCCAGCAGCTGGCTTCTCTTCCCTCCTTACATTGTAATGCAAATTACCTGCCCCAGGGCAGGGGCAGCAGCCACACCCACAGTAGTCAATCACAAACTCCAGAAGCCACCCCAAGACTGCATGAGGCTTTGGGGGGACACCTAGACACAAACCAGAACATCAATATATTCATTTCTTCACATAGCGTTGTTGTCTGTATACAGTGCTTTTGCTAAGTAGCATATTTACTGTGCTTATAACCATGAAAATCGCATATCAAATGATTCACTGGATTTCTTTTTTTCCTTTGAAATTTTCAAGGTGCCTGCACATAAAATCTTTAGCTGGTGGATGGTGACTTTCGAAGAACAAAAGGCACTGGCAACAGAAGAGTTTTTCTGGGTTCCAAACAGTGATACTTGTTAAGTCTTTTGATGTCATAGACATTGATTGGTTATTCTGCTCCAGAACAAGGAGGAATTTATCTGGTTTACCTGTGCTACTGTACTGAATATTGATAAACTGAATTTTTAAGAATTGCCTTCAGTTGGGAATGGAAGCTTTATATTTGTAAGAAATATATTTGATAAAGTTTACTAAAGCAACACCAAAAAAATAGAGAAAAAAACATTGCAAACTTTTGCACATTCTACACACAGTGCCTATAAATCTCAGTAGTATTTTCAGTTTGCACTTAGTTTTTTTGTTTTTTAGTGTTTGGAAAACAGTGCTCTAAACATTTGTCAATGTTCTGATTTCCTATTGCCCTCTTTCCTCCTGAGCTTTTGAACTATATTTGATGTTTCTTTGGGTTTACGTTTATAAGTCAAATATAAGATATTGTACGTCGGGCACATATCTCCTCTTTGGCTGCTAATAATAAATTAATAATAGATAACCTGGACAACCCAGGAAGCACCAGTCTCCTCCTTAGTTTGTTTCTTCTTTGCCAGGGACAAGCATGTCTGCGTACTCAGACGAGACATACCCAGACTTGGAAAAGTCACAAGAACAAAACGATAGGCCAGCAACCTAGCAAGTTTCAAAAACAAGACAGTTTAATTCTTCGGATCTGCATATGTCTTGGTTTAGTGTGGTATTAAGCTCTGTTTTCTATTCTCTATGTAAAACCTAACAGCTCATTTGCTTTGAGCCATTTGCCACACTGGTTTTCACACTGTTTATCTGACTTTATAGAAGTTGTTTACCAAATAAACTTACACAAAATTCGCCCCTCCCCAGCAGTTTAAGAAGTAGTCTCTGATGTCCAACAATTCGGACAGGCTTTTCAGATCTTTATGAATAAATAGTTTATGAGCATTGTGCTGGTATCATTGATGGGATTTTGATAAATAATTAATTTCATCTTCATTTCCTGGCAGTGAATGAAGGAAAGGATATGAGGGACATAGGATAAGAGATTTCAGAAGTTTAGGTTTCCAGACAGCACAGCCTTCTTAGTAGTAAGGTAAGGATTTTGTTGGGCCTGTACTAACTTCAGTAAACTTAAGCATATCACCAATACTGTCTGAAGGGGACAAGTAAAAATAGTAACATGGCTCATAACTGATGTCAGTGTTCATTGCCACTCCCTGAGACTGCTCTCTGCAGGTTTGGCACAACCCTACGAGCCTTCACCCTCCACCTAGTGAAGTTTCCACCCTGCTCAATAAATAGTATAGTTGTTCCTTCTTTTTATGAGTTAAAAAAGTAAAAAGACTGAAATGTTTGACATTGATGATGTTTCCAAAGCTATGATTGCAGAAGTACTAATTTCCATGCACAGAGAAAAGTATTTTTAAATGACTTACTGGAATCTAGAGATCTGAGACTGCCTGTAAATGTTTAAGGGATATGAGAAGGCCTCCTTTTGTGCCGGTGAGATAGCTCAGTGGCCTAAAGTGCCTGCTTAGGCAAGCTCAGGCAGGTGCAGAGACCATGTTCATCCCGGCACCACATGCTGTGCCAGCCCTGCCCCCCCAGGAGGGCTGAGCGGCCACCAGAACAAAACAAAACAAAAAACTTCCTTTTACGAAAAATATCTTCAGGGTGGGTATTTGCTAGTAGCTCATAGCGCAAGCAAGCTGTGGATCTAAGGGAGCCCTTTTATCCTTATCCATCTAATAAGGAGAAAGTATTTGTAAATATCTGCTTAAAAGTAAACAAGTGTTTATTATCAAAAGGGTTTCTGCCCATTGTGGTGGCAAATCACATCTGCATAGAAAATGGGCTTTTCAGAAGCAAAGAAGATCGATTCCTCAAGTGACCAAACCGAAAGTCAGTATTTTTGTTTCATTGATCAAGATATAAAATACAATTAAAGCAAAGTATTTTACATTACAATCTCGGCTGTGTGTTTTTTGAAGAAGTAAACTAGTCTGGGTAAGACATCACAAGCAATTTGTCTTTATTTTCATTTCTCAAACCATCAGCCATGCACTAGGCATAAAAACGGAACAGTATAGAAGCCAGTCTATCCCACAGCATTAGAGCAACTCATTTTTACATTTTTTATGTCATATTTTTTTTGTCTTGAAATCATGTGTCCATTTAGAAATTCCTATGTAAGACTTCAATTCAAAAATAGTAGACTGCGTTGTCTTTACTTGGGCTATTAGAAGCAAATATTTTGTTTCAAAATATATTATCACCCATTGGTGACCACAGTTATATACTGGCAATAAGTGCCAATAGTAAGTTCTTAAGAAATTTTTAAAAATGGGCCAGGGGAAGAGCTAAGAGAGAAGACATCATTCCCCTACCAAGCGCTCCAGTATGACTTTAAGTGGAAAGTGTTTCCTGTGGGCATAAAGACACTATTTTTCCAGAAGAGCCAAACCCCTGGGACTCTCCACTGCCCACTATCGAGCAGGCGAGGAAACCTGATGGTTTGGGCTCCACGAGTCAGCATCTGGACATGAAGCAAGGAAGAGAGGGCAGATAGCACATGTGGATGGTTGACAGCACATGCGGCGCGGACGGCACGTGTGGGCGGATGGCGCTCGACGGCACGTGGGGAGGGCGGACGACACGTGGGGAGGGTGGATGGCACGCATGGTGGGCGGGTGGCAAGTGTGGAGAGCTCCAGGTAGCTGCCTCCCTTATTAGCTACTCATCTAGGCATTCCATGTTCTCTTCGCTAGTCGGCTTTCTAAGGGCATTGATGAAACGTGTGAATGACAGACATACAGGTCTTGAGGTTTCTGAACACTGCTGGCTTCAAGGGTACAACAACAAGTGAGAAGAATGAAGCGCTTTCCCCTTCCGTGGTGGACAGCCCACTGGTGTATGTGCGCTGCAGGGCAGCAGTCCCTCGATGAGAACAGAGGCTTTCCACAGAAAGGGTCAATGACAGAGTTGAAGGGAAGAGCAGTGTCTTCAGCTGGAGCCCCCCAAACATCTCTAGTTTGAAAATACATACATTCAAGATAATTTGGGCGATTTGGATCCTGAGAACTTAGCACGAAACAGCTGTTTACAGCAGCTCAGGCTTTTCACGTTGTAGCCACACTCTGATTTTATCAAAATTCTTATCCATCCAACGGATGTTTTCCTCTATGGTTTCAATAGTTTGCTGGACGCAGCGGAGCTGAGAGCCATTTTCTTCCAAAGTGTGGAAGAATCCTTTTACCTTGGAAGGAGAAAATGGATTTTTTTAAAAAATTAATTTTATCACACTAAGGAAATGTTACTAAGGCTAGTTAAAAGAAAACTGAAGGCAAAATTCTAGAATTTGTCAAAGTTCTCTACAGAAAGCAGCGCCAGGTGTCTGGATACGATTATGTACACATAAGCTTGATCTATACGAAATGAGTTCATGGCTCACAATAGCAGGTTTTTGCATTTTTCTCTGCAGCTCTTTTATTTATTCACATTTGCCAGACTTTAAAAGGCTACACTGTTTACCATTTTTAAATTAAGGTTTAATTGAGTGTGTCTATGTAACATGCACTCGGTTCTATACACACAGATGAGAACTTCCTTTTTTTCAAAACATGATATCTGAAAAGCAAAATGTGCACTGCATCTTCTTTGCCAACCAAAACAATTTCAACCCCATAAGCGCAGCCTTGCTCCCTGGGCCTCACATCATGTGTTATTATAGAAACGCTGTAGGGGATGGGGTTCTTAGCAAGTTCTGGTGGTAAGACCCCAAACCTTGCCAAATTTTTTATCCTAATTCACAATCCATGTATTGTTCTCTTCAGATAAAATTGACAAGTTCTCCATGGTTTTCAAGAGATAAGAGACTGTTGGCAGTCTCCTCAGAAATGTCTTTGTTCTTTTTTCTTTTTTCTTCTCTGTATACTCACACCTCTTACGCTCACATGAGGGCCACGCTAACTGTGCCACAGCACTGAGGATTATACTATTTTGTTTCACCTTACAGGGTTCTTAACCTTTTCCCCCAACTTTTCACAGCATTAGTCCATCAATTTGATTTTGTAGTCAGGAAAGAAGTGTGTGCCAAAATGTATTATTTATTCAGCATGGATTCCAGAGAGCTAATTCCTTAAAAATCCATGTCATAATACCATTTTATGAGGTTAGGAGGAGGAGGTGAGGTGAAAGTGGGCTTTAGAAGGATCAAATTCCAGTTTTAAATGATTCAGAGTTGTTTTATATTACATTTAACACAAATCCTCAAATTGCTGACGGCATGGCCTGTGCTGGAGGACCCGGAATACGCCTCCTCCTCCCTGCCCCACCTTGTATTCAGTTTACCTTCCTGAACCTGAGATTAATTCCCTATCAATTCAAAATCACTTCGGGCCCTTGGACCATCAATAATTCAGACCATGTTGCTAATTTTACTAATGGTCAAAATATTTCATTAATTCTTGAGCCCATCAAGACAACACCACTGAAAAGCAGACCTTCTACCCACCAGCTCTAGGACCTTTTCCTGACCCAAAACTGTCTCTTCTGTCCTCACCTACTTCAGAAATGCAGCACCTGAATTATGTGACTGATTCCAACAGGCCTCTCTGAGGGAGTTTCATGTGCAAGGGGAAAGAAGCAGTTTAGCACAAGAGGGAAGTCTGCTTTTGTAGTGTACCTGTATAGTTCATGTCTGTTCTTTCTGACAACATACTAATTTCTCATTTTGGCTTGATTGCTATTAAGCTTTTTTATTAAATCTAGGGTACTACCTCAATAATTATCACCAAATTCCTTCACATAGTTATCTGCTGTTCATTACAGTGTTTTTTGGTTTTTTTTTTTTTTTTTTTTCTTTTTTGGTATTTTTAGGGAAGGGTCTACAGGGTGTTCAGGGTCTCACTACTAGATCGGACTCATAGTGATTCTCCTGTTTACAGCCTCCCAGGAGCTGGGATTACAGGTGCGTGCCACCACACCCAGTCTCAATAGCCTGCTCAGCACGGCCTGGGGCCAGGCCCGGCACACCAGGCCAGGAGATCGAACCCCCAGCCCCTGTACCTGCTTGCAGGTGCTTTAATCCGCTGAGCTATTTGGCTGGCCCTAATTTTTCATGTTAACATTTTATTGATGGATTTTATGAGACGCAGAGGAATGTGTCTGAAAGTAGATGTGCAGGAAAAGGAAAAAGATCAGACCACAGACTTAGAGTCAGGAATGTGGGCTCCACACCTGCCTCTCTCACAACCACTGGGTGGCCAACTTCAGTTGCGTGTACCTTCAGAGCTCACTGTTCACACCTTTCAGCAAGGACTAATCATCTCAAGTTATTTTTTAATGGCAGAACAAGGGACCCTTACTATCTCCAAGAAGAGGTCTGGTTTCCACCAGTTTATCTGCAACTGACTTTTGTTTATATCTCAGTAGCATGGAATCCCCAAGTAAATTGATGAAATCCACTTCTAAGTCATCTCACTTTTAAGAATTTGGTCTTCAGGCTTAAGCTTAAAGGAAAAATTGTACTTTCTCTCTTTACCTCCGCAAGTCGTGCTCTGGTGGAGAATTGGCTTGTTGTACCCGTCACCATGAGGGCTATGGCAGACGATCCAAGTTCAAACCTTGAAATGGAAATTGTCCAAATTTGTTGTCAAATACTGATGCAGTCAACATGTATTAAGTGCCTCAGCTGTGATGGCATTTAGCTAAAAACTGATTAAGCATGAAAGAATATAAAACATAATCACTGTCTTCCATTGGGTTAAGATCTGGTTGTAAAATATGTTACATGCCCAGCAGTGGAACAAATCATTAAGAAAGGTCAGTAGAGGAGTACTGTAAGACCTAGATAAAAGCAGAAGATGCAGGAGTGCTAGGAAGAGTAGGACTGACCTAGAGAGAGGAGGGCTTCACATGAGCCGGCAGGGGTGGATGGAGCCCCAGAGGAATGGACAACATTACCATCTGCCTCATTAGCACCGACTTAGGGCTCCCCTCTTAATAGAAGTTCCAAGTACCTCTACTTGCCACCTTCAATCAGAACACTTCTTTAGACTGTTACTATTCTTTTATAAACATCAGCATTAAAACATGACACGTTTACAGAACTTACCCAATCCCAGCATATTTTGGGCACTACTTACTTTTGTACAAGTTTATTCCAGTTTTCCCTCAGAAACTGCCAGGCCAATGAATATCCCACTGGGTTTCTGCCAATGATTGTAAGAATATATGGAAACTCCTGGGTTTTTATTATATCTCCCTTAAAACTCTGATCTAGTAACCTATAATGAAGACAAGAGCCATTACCAGTGAATAGGTGATGAAAAGTTATAAAGAGTACAGTAAAATAACTTGTAAGAGAAAAAACCCAGGCTGCCAGTAATGAAGGCCAAGTAGGTAAGTTGGTAACCAGAGTCCTGACAGACCCAGGATAGCTACATGATAGTAAAAACTAACAGTAAAATGGCATTTATAATACCTATTCTTGTTTATTCCCTAATTTGCTCAAAAGAATAGTTAATAGAGCTTTAGTAAATATATCAAGCGTATTATTGCTTCAAAGATACACAATATAAATGTCTTTAAGCATTTTCCCTGACACCTGGCCCTCCCTAATGATTTGCTATTCTGATTAGAAGTGTGCCTACTCGCATAAATGTTCCAAGCGTAATAGGCCATTTCTGGCCCCGGAACAAAAATAGACACCAGAATGATGAGATCTAATTTAATTTCCCTTGGCCTCATCAACATGAATGAATGACTCACCACTGAAGCTTTTCCTTATTTTGGCTGAGGCAGAGGGCATATTCAATTTCTCCTTTCTCAGTACTGGATAAAGAAGACTGATATTTATTAAAAAGAAAATCCCATCCGTCCGTGTCCTGGGCCCCCACAGCAAACACTGCCGAGGTCACATCCACCGGCAGGCTGTGGGAAAGAGCAAACCCATCAGTATCTGAGAGGCAGAAGGTACACTCAGAGCCCAGTGGTGTCCCATTACGAGCTGGTGAGCTGGGCCCACACTCAAAGAGGCATGCCTGGGACACGAAAACTACTGCATTCCTTCAGTGGAAAGAGGGGACGAAAATATGTCAAATTAGATTTTAAGTAGCCTTCTTAAAACCTTAATGTGAAAGGTCACTCATAAATACTAACCTTTTTAAAGCCAGCCAGACAGCTCAGGGGACTAAAGCACCTGCTTAGGCAGAGCGCAGCAGCCGGCTGGGGTTCAATCCCTGATGTGCCCTGCCAGCCCTGCCCGCAGGGTACACTGAGACTACGATTGAGACTGGGTAGGGTGGAGCACGCCTGTAATCCCAGAGCTTGGGGGCTGAAAAACAGGAAGGATCACTACGAGTCCAATCTATGTAGTGAGACCCTGTAGACCTTGTACTAAATACATAAAACAAAAAAACATTTCTAACATTTCAATAATGTGGCTCACTCCATTGGTGCTCACCTTTCAAGTAAAATGAAAAAAATCCAAACGGCTCAAAATCTCCTCCAGGAACAGAAGACAGAAGTGTAGTAAATCACTGTGAGCATTTCTTTTAAGTGGAAGCCTGTGGGTTTTGGGAGTACATGTGTCTTTCATGGTGCTTAAGCTCCAAACACGAAATGACTGAAGCATTGTGGGAGCAGATTTCTGGACACAGGAAGCCAGCCCTACCTTGCTTTACAGTGCTCAAGACACTGGAGAGGCAGCAAGGTTTTGTGGCTGCCACTCAGAATGGGAGTTTCTGTGTTCCAGGGCTGACTCCCTTACTAGCATTTCTTAAAACAGAGTTCACGGATACATAGATTAAAAAAGCAATTCATTTTCCTCAATAACTGAAGCAGGGAAGACTTGTTTATAACTTTTGTGTGTGTGTGGGTGTATTTTTTTTAACAGTGGTTAATATCAATAATAGAAAACAGGAAAGACACCCTTACATCAACAAATGAGGAGCTTGGGATATAGCTCAGTGGGACAAGCGCCTGCTTGGCAAGCGCAAGGTCCTGCGTTCCATCCCCGGTACCAAAACAAAATAAAATGAGTTCTTCAGTAGGGACTGACCTCATGTTGCCATTGGATTCCTTCCACTTCCTAAAGTAGCCTTCTGCCCTCTGCACACAGGGCTGATAATTGCGCACACAGGCCAGCAGGAGGAGCTGACTCCGGAGCATGCGCTCTGAGACCGAGCCTTCGTCTGTCCAGGTCTGCTTATCAATGAGGTTCCTCAGCAGCCTGATGAGGAAGGCCTGAGGGGGTAGACCAGGGGACAGTGACAGGTGTCATGAGTGTTGTCACAGCTCATTTTGTGTTTATTAGAGCCAGTACTCAACTCAGATGATGGCAACTAACTTTTAAAACTTAACCCAATTCTTCTTTTAAAGTGTGCAGGCCTTTTTAATTATAAAACAGGTCAGAACAAGACATAGGGATTTAGTATTTGCATACCAATCTTTGGTGAAGACAGCCTATCCTGGCTGAACTTAAAATGAGGCTGAACAGCCATGCTTGAGCTCAAAGTAACAGTTGCATGACAATTTTAAAAACAAGTTGTGCAAAAACTTTATGACATTTTGCAAAAATAACAAGTTTGTGCCTCTTAAAGTACCATAAAATGATCTCAGAAAAATCTTAATGCTGGTGATCATACTAGAGAAGTAAAATGAAAGAAAAGGAAGGAGATTAAAAGTCCATGAAAATTAAGTACAGAATTTAGCACTGCCATTCTATGTTAGTGATAGACAAAGTAGAATTCTGTTAATTAATCCAAACATTAAATGTGTATTTGTTTTTCCCATATACATACACACATAATACACAATGGTAAACACTTTTTTTTCATATACAAGAAAAGCAAAGTTCTATAACTATCCTAAGCACATTCTGGCTTTTACCTTGAATTGAGTTTCCACTTCAACCATATCTCTCTTCTCCATTAACCTGTATATAGGGATCAGCTCTTTCACCCCTTGGAACACAGGCATGGTTTCAGTTTCGTGTTTCAAGTACAGTGTGAGATCCAAGGCTTTTTCAATAGATAGCTTTCCGATGCTGACCAAAAGACACCATGATTACTTGTAATATTCAAAGAAAATCCAGTAAGTCAACTTTTTGCTGCAAAATACATTGCATCAGTCTTCCATCAAAACAATGACTTTACATTAGTGTCCTTTCCCATTAAACCTAACATCTGGCAAGATTCCATGGGGAAAGAACGCAAGGACATCAGTCCTCCAGGACACACTGGGTTGTGTGCAGAACTCCTGGGTAACAGGAGTTCACGGGCCTTCAGGAAGCCCTGTGGGAAAACCTGCATTCAGCAAATGTATGGTCCCTGGAGGACCCCATCTTCTCTGTTTCAAAAAGACACTGAATACACACAGAAACCCTTCACAATAGAGGGTTAATATTAAAAGCCTCAGTGGGAGGGTAGGTACTTATATAAAAAAAGTAGAACCCTCTAAGATTCAAGCAGAAATAGGCTCCACAGAGGAATTTTTTCAGCAGGAAAAAAAAAAAAAAAAAAAAAAAAAAAAAAAAAAAAAAAAAACAGATACACACTTAACTTCTTGCTCTGTGCTTTTTGCCACATCAGGAAGGGATAGTCTAGTATTAGAAGTACCAGAAAGACCTCAATATTCAGGGCAGAAGTACATAGGGATGAGAATTATAAAGCTGCCCTTAGGACTTCTATTATGCCTAAAGATCAAAAAGCGTGAATTTTAGGTGTGGAAAGATTTCCTTAAAATCACTGTTATGGAAGGGGGACAAAAGACACTGTTCACTCTATTCTCAGATACACAAAGATCACTGGATGGGGCCAAATTTGATGAACTGTGTAATCCATTAAAATGCTGTGAAGTTTGAGCATGTAGAGGGCTGTTTTTGTTATTTGGTTGACTGGTTTGGTTTGTTGGCATTTGTTTTAAATCTCTCCTTTAATCCAAGAGATGTAACAAACATCTGGGTCTAGATTACTTAGTTTTCTTTCAAGATGTTTGTAGTCCCAGCATAGGTGAAAACTGATCCAATGTGGTAGGGCCAAAAACTCCTTAGGACAAGGCTTGAGGCACAGGGCCTCACCAGGATGCTGTCTCCTGGATTTTACAGGTATCTTGATCTGATCTAAATTGGGAATGAGGAAGATTAACATACAGATTATGCATTTCAAGTCACCTAGCTGTCACAGACAAGAGGCTAATCCCAAGGTAAAAGCAAACGACTGTGAGAAGAATTTAGGGACAATACCTTTCAACTGCTTATTAGCAACAGTCAATCAGTTTCATCTTAGGAAACCAAGACGTTGAAAGGTAACAGCTGCTTTCAAAAGTAAGCCACAACTTTGTGCTGCTTGCTTTACCTGACAAGCTGAAAGGCATTGTTAATGAGACTAGCCCGATCGTTACTGCTGATCGCTGTGTGCGTCGTTTTTAAGAGGCCAGTCAAAGCATCCCATCCATCATGCTCGTAGTGCACGATGTAATAGCCGTTCATGCCCACGTTAAATTTGATCCACTCCACTGCTTCTGGGAGGATGAGCACATCTAGAGCAAATAACATAAATCATAGCTCCTTGTACTCTCAACTCAGGAAAGTTTTCCTGATCTGAGGCTGGACAGAGAAACCAGAGAAGAGTTTAATGCTGAACAAATTAAATTCACTTTTATCTTTTAGAAACCAGACAATGGTAACCCAATAGACAAGACTCAACACTAGTCTTGGATACCAATTTTATGAGCTTTATATATCTATGGAAAGAATGCGACCACATTTCTGGCCATACATATGATGTACCCTGGTAATATTAACAAAACAGTGAGCGTTTTCATTGGTAATCCCTTGTTTTTAGCACTTTAAATTAATGGTCCTAATTTCTATCTAGCATTCTAGTTTAAAAGTAGGCAAAATTTTCAACCTAATCCCTTCTCTTTACCTGGATAAATAGCAAAAGACATTTAGTATTTAAATTCTATGTTATCTCCACACTTCTTTGAATTAAACCAGCTATTTTCACAATAAATTACCTGTCTTTGTTTTTAGCAAAAATCTCTGGACCGAGTCTGATTTGCTGGTAATGAATGTCAGTGGAACATGCCATAGGTACCTGAAAGAAAGGAGGGATGGATTTTCATTTTCTGATTTATTGAACAAGTAGCTATGGCTAGTTTAGAAGAGGATGGGATTGAAACTATTACAGCCAATGTCTCCAAACGTATTCCATTTTCTAGCTCGGGTACTACGCATCCATTCTGAATTCCTTGAGTAGTATTAGGAATTTAAATTCAAGGAAATGGTCAACAGAGACCTAACTTAAATCAGCGACCACCAGTAACTGTATAAACTGGCATCTTGTACCTCCTAACAAATATACTGGGAAGCACACAGCATCACCTCTGTGGAATTCCCACCTGCAAAGCACAACCTGAACCTGGTCATGAAGAAAGAGCAGAAAACATACATTGAAGTCATGATCCTTTAAAATAACTGGCTTTTACTCTTCGAAAATGTGAAAACAATGAAAAGGAAGACTGAAAAAAATTGCTTCAGACCAAAAAAAAAAAAAAAAAAACAGCAAAATGATGGGAAAATTGAGCCTCTGTTCAAGTAGAGATTGTTTTCTGTTTTCATTTAAAAGATATTTTTTAGGATAACTGGAATGAGTGAACAGAGATTATAGGTCAAATAATCCTAGTGTGTCAAGTTTATGTCCTAATTTTGGAAATTGGACTGTGACTATATAAGTGAACATTCTAAGGGTGTCTTGTCTCCAACTAACTCACTCTTATACAATTAAAAAATGTGTGTGTGTATGTGTGTGTGTGTGTGTACATGACAGAGAAATAGAGAGAGAGAGAGAGAGAGAGAGAGAGAGAGAGAGAGAGACATCAACCAAATGTGATCAAAAGTTATCTCACATCTGGATAAAACATATATGGAAATTCTTTGGATTATTCTCACAACTTTTCCATAGGCCTGAAATTATTTCAAGATGAAACAAATGCTTTTGCATCATGACTATCCCGGGCCAATCAAGTTGCAGCATCTCATTTTAACAATGTCCTACTGTGGCATTAGGGTCACAGCTTCAGGTTCTAAGTCAGGTTCCCAAGTTTGCCTCCCGAGATGGGAACTGGGCCTCTTGCCATTCCTAGGAACAACTCAATTCCTTTGTCCTTAGCTCCAACCTACGTACTGGACACTTGTAATGTAGTGGCAGTTGCAACTATCTAAGCTAATTTCAAGCCAGAAACGAGAAATTCCATTCTATTGAACAACATAACATGAGAATGCTAAAATAATTACATATCATTAGCTTGCCTGAGGTTACACAAACTTATAGTTTCCTTAATCCTTTGGAGATGATAGGCAAGTATGGGACATATAGATTCAGCTGAAATATTTTAAGGCAGTGTTTCAAAAGTAAGATTTATACTAACAGGCAGATGTTACCCAGGCAACAGGAGGGGTCTTACTCTGTAACATTACCCAGTCTCTGGGGCGCTGTCAGACCCCTTCATATAGTGCTCCTGCTTCATGTGCACGTTCCTCCCTCTCACTGTGATGGTGATGAGGGGGAAGCCCTTCTGCAGTGTCCAGGTGTTCATCATGGCCTTCACGTCCACAGTTTCCTGAAGCCAGTGCTGGTTAACAGACACAAAGGCACAAGTGTCATCCACACAGGCCCGACTCCAAGAGGAGAGAGGGCCAGCTTGTGCCCTGAGAGATGCCTCCCACTGCTAGTCTCTCAGGGGGCTCCTCCGCTCCCAGCCTCCTGCCCTGGCTCCCTTCCCCAGGTGTCCCCAGCCATGGAAGCTCCACTAGGGCACTGACTGTTTATCTTCCAGCCTCTTCTGCTACACATGTGTGGCCTGACAGGTGGCACATCAGCTTCTGCTGGGCACTGGGCAACAGACTGATGAATGAATGAATGAGGAGTAAGGGTAGAGGAAAGGGGGAGTCTCAACACCGTACAGCTCCGTTGGCTCTTGGGCAGGCAAGGTGGGAAAGTCAGTCAAGAGCCTGTGCTCCGAGGACAATAACACAGATGGTCTGTACTCAACAAGTGGTCACAAACTCAGTACAGCATATGTTCTTCAATACTAAAAAAGCTTTGGGGAAAATACTTTAGAGCCATTACAAGAATAAAAATGCTACCGAGTAAATCCAGAAATCACGGAATGAAGCAATCTCTAAAAATAAAAAATAAAGAAAACAAAGGATAATGTTCTATTGAACTTCCAGATTCACCCACGGCAGCCTATAAAAATATTCCACAACTCAGATAAATGGGAAATCAGGTTGTTTTGTGACTCAAATGGTACGAATTCCTTATAGTCTAGCAGTTAAAAGCATTTGAGATCTAAATTCAAATCCCTGCTCTGTAATTGATGACTAGATGCCTTTGGATTTCCTAGGCCCACATGGAAAGGCAGGAATATCAGAGGGTTTGGCTCATGGGACCACTGCAAGGCATAAAGCAGGTGACACACGTAAGCCCTTGTGTGCTCCTGATGCACAGTTTGTACTCCACAATGCACACAGCCATTACTGTTTTTCACAAATACAGAGCTCAAGAAAGGATGGAGACCCCCCGATGGACAGAATGCCACCCTAATCTACCATACAAGATCTACCATAAAGGCAGTGCTTTACACACATCGAGGCTGGATAAGGCAATTTTCAGGAGAAGCATCATAGAAGACAACATTTTGTAAAAGAAAGCTGATAAAAGGTGGTGTATCTAGTATAGTCCATGCAGAATCATCTGGAATGAGGGTGAGATGGCCAGGGATCTGAGTCACAGAGCGGCCTTCCAAGAACATGGTGCCAGGCTGGGGAGACAGTTCGGTGGTCTAAGCGCCTGCCTGGCAAGTGCAATGACCCGGGTTTGATCTCTGGCATCGCATGCCATGCCAGCCCTGGAATTCTGCCCGGCTGACCCCAAAACCAGGCAAGGTGGTGCACACCGGTAATCCCAGTGTTAGCGAGGCTGAGACAGGAAGATCACTACAAGTCTGAACTATGTAGCGAGACCCTGCACCAAATAAACACATTTTTAAAAAAATATTTGAAGAATATGATTTCAAAGATGTCCACAGGAAAAGAGGTAGAGGACAAGACTTACTGAGGAGGATGATGAATGCTGGCCTCGGGAACAAAACCCCTCCGGGGTTTGGGTCTCATCTGCTGGGCAAATCTAAAACCACAAATGTGCACATCAGTGTCACTGCTGCAGGGAATGCCCACAGCTCCTCTCAAAGGGAGTGAAGTGATGCAGAAGAAGCAAAACCAGAGAAAAATTGTCCATCTCTATTGCACAGATACATAAAAGCTTACTCACACTTGCCATCGAATTCCACAGGTCCTCATTTCTCGTGTTTTTATAGCTGTACTTTTGTAGGTACTGCACAATTCCACTTTTAAATGCGTCGGCACTAAGGTACTCCCTCAGCATATTCAGAATACAAGCACCCTGAAAGATAATACAAATAATTATGTCTGTAGTCTGGGCACATACTGTATTGTGTAATAATTCCTTTTAAATTGCAGGTGCACCAATTAGTAAAAAGCTTGGTTAGCACAAAGCTTGATTTGTACACTGGGCATGATGACACACAGCTGTAACCCCAGCACTTGGGAGGATGAGGCAGGAGAATCCTTGTCAGTGAGTTGGAGGCCAGCCTGGGCTACATGATGAAACCCGGTCTCAAAAAAATAAATAAATAAATAAATAAATAAATAAATAAATAAATGAAAGAAAGAACCAGCAAGCAAGCAAACAAACAAACAAACAAAAAACTCAATACATACAAAGCTTGGCTGGTGCAAAGTTGACAGCCAATTAATACCTACCTGGTGAAGGATCTGCAAAAGGCAGTTTCAGTAGGTCATGAATTTTTTTTTTTTAATGTATTTGGTTGTTGCAGCATCTCACTACTCAGCTCAAACTCGTAGTGATCCTCCTGCTTTCAGCCTCCCCAGCTGAAATTCAGCACTAGGATTACAGGCATGCGACACCATGGCTGGACTCTGGCCTGCTCAGCCCAGCCTGGTGGCGAGGCTGGTGTGGCATGTGTTGGCAGGGATTGAAGCTCAGTCCCTGTGCTTACCTATGCTTGCCTAAACAGGCACATTAGTCTGCTGAGCTATTTTGTCAGCCTCCAAAAGGTCATGAATTTTTAACCCAACAAAGAATAGAGAATTGACTGACTATAATATAATCTTTAGGATTGTATGTTACACTTGTAGTAAGAGCTCAGGCCAGTCAGCACAGGTCGAGCCAGAAGGCTTTGGATCTGATGCTCCTGTTGGGGTCAAAATTACCCCATACCCTTCCAAGTCTCTCCACCCCAGTATCTAGTTGTACCCTGACAGTCCACTTTTACCTTTTCATATGAGACCTCATCAAACATCTCCCGGATCTGAGCAGGATCCTCCACAGGTGTGGACACGGGGTGTGAGGAATTTAAAGCATCAACCTCCATGGCATTAAAACACTTGTGAAAGAAATGATCTTCCTAATGAAACAGCAAAAGAAGAGAAACAGCACCCGTGTGTTACAGTCACAAAAAGGAGGAAAGGATAAAGATTTGACCTGGAAGACAGGTCAATACTTCCAATTTCTGTGCCAGCTATTGTTAGTTTTTATGAAATAAAACAAAATTATAATGCTCTCTAAAGAACATTCGAAAAACCCCAGATTAATTTCAGGTAAACATTTTGGATTTTATTCTTCTTAAATACTTAGAAATTTAAAATAAAGGACATTTTATACTAACTGAAAAACAAAACCACTAGTGTAACTAAACAACAACGAACAGGAAAATAAAATGTGTAGTGATTTTGACATTTTTCATTCATTTGTACTACAGTATTTTAAGCAAAGAAATTGAGCTTTAAAACAATGTAATGAATAAAAAAAATGAAGAACAGATTCCATCCTTAACTTTCTTTATTTGATATATTAACTCAATTGAATAATATGCATCTGTAGTCACTGCTATTACTAAAGATTTCCTGGAAACAATGGAAAACTTTTATGACCAATTATAATGAAATAATGACATGAACTTCAGAATTATAACTATGTATAACTAAATTATAAACATAAATAGGCAAAATGTGAATAACTGCACAAATGAAACATAGTTTAGTAAATCACTAGCTTTTACCTAAAATGATTTTATTTTTATCTTTTAAGCAATTATTTCAAGCTTAAGATGAGATGCTTAAAATAAATATATTCTAATCCTGAAGTATGTAAGTTGCCATTCATGAGTACAGGCTAATACAGTATATAGCCTTAAGCATAATTCACCAAGTAGAGTTTATTGACACAACAGCAACCTACACCCAATACTTCTGCAGTGAGCAGCCTGAAGATTGGGAAAATGACAGGAAACATTCAGGTTCTCATTATTGCTATTTGTTTGATATTAAGAGAAGATACCGCATAACACATTTTATAGCAGCCACAGATTCACACTCAAGTCTGATAGGTCTTCGTGGTGTATCTTGGAAGTTCACTAACATTTCTGCAGTCTAATTCTAAGGATGTTGTCTATGCTCTTCTATATATTGTGCTACCAAAGATTAGACAATCTTTTCCAGCAATATTGATGAAAACAACAGACTAACCCAAAACACAAATACCGACTTACGACTTTCAGCTCCGGGTGGGTCACACTGACAGACACCAACTCCATAAACTTGGCAAAGCCCTCATTTAGCCAAAGGTCATTCCACCACTCCATAGTGACCAGGTTCCCAAACCACTGAAAGGAAAAATGTGACTCAGGTTATTCACACACTGATACGCAACCTGGGGTACCTATAATCTGTCACAGCACGCTCAAACAACATAATCAGGCAGACACATTTTTAATGTCTAATGTCAGCTTATGAATGTGAATATATTTTTGAACAAATATTTTCAGAGTAAAAATAAAACCCTCCAATGTGCATTATAAAATATGAAAGTAGGTGCTTCAAATGAGCAATTTTGCTATGAGAAATACAAATACTATAAATATATTGTGATGGCCTTTATGTAGATGTCTCCCCAAAGCTTTATGCAGTCATAGGTGGGTTTTTTTTTTTCAGAGATGGCTGAATCTAGTGAGTGTGATTGATTCATACATAGTGCAACTCTAAGAATAAGGGTGTTAGGATCAAGGGGGTGATTGCTAAATCAGTCCACTGACTGGTTTGGCACCAGCCAACTCCTAGTAGACTGGATAAAATATAAGAGACAGAAAGCGATGTATCTCTTGCCTGCTTTGCTGCCCTCTGTCCACCATGAGCTGTTTCTCCTCTGTGATGCCCCTCCACCATGCTGCCCTGCCTTGGAGCCAGCCCAGTCAGGACTGAAACCACTAAAAACTGTGAGCAAAAAATAAATCTTCCCTCCTTTAATTTTGAGTATTGGGTATTTTGTCTCAGGAATGACAGAAGGATAAGTAAGACACTATGCATCATCTCTTTTATCCTACAACAGCGATACAAACATTCAACAACACTTTTCTAAGTGTGCTTCAGCCTGAGTACCTGGTGAGCAAGTTCATGGGACACGATCATGGTGATGCCAAGCTTATTGCGTGCAGAAGACTTCTCCACATCAAACAGCAGAGCAGATTCTCTGTATGTTGTCAGGCCCCAGTTTTCCATGGCACCAGACTGAAAGTCAGGAATAGCAGCAAGATCTTGGGAAGAAGTAACAAGATACGTTACCAGGGTCAGAGCCACACATTCACCCAGACCAATAAGCATCACAGTGAAGGAGGCATTAGGACAAAAAACAAGGAACACAGCCTGAGCAGCATTGCACAGCTCCAGCCAGGGAGGACATTTTTCAGTGCTAAAAATAAGGGCTTCAGTGACTCAGTCATTTTACCACTGAGCTCCAGTCTGCCTTGTGCCTCTGGCCTCTTGATCCCTTTTTGAGCTCCCTGATCACCAGATTTGGGGTTAAAAACAAATCTGAATAATTATCTCAGTAATCCATTCTACTTTGGATGCCCAACACACACATATACTTACGAAGCAAATACAACAGTTGAAAAGGCTCTATAAGAAGGAAAATTATAGATTTTCTTATACTATATCTGAAGGTAAAACAGTGCCTAGGTCACAAATGGAGATCTGCTTTGATTGGCATTGGAAGGTCATTAGACAGATGAGAGGTGAGAAGATGCTCAGAGGCATCAGTCTTTGGACACTCGCTGGGGCTGCTGGGAAAATCATGGGGAGGCACCATCCTAGGAATGGAGTCCTTAACTGAGGTCATCAAATGCTACCTTGTCATATCCGAGCAAGATCCTCACCTTGCTTGGGTAAAGGATACGGTATGCTGAAATAATCCTCATAAAATTCTAGAAGAGTCACCGCAGCATCTAGAGCATAACCTGCTTGGTTTATCTTATCCGGCACGGCATACACAGAGACCTAAAGGGAAAGACATAGAAAAACAGTCAAATTCCAGAGTGGCTTCTCCACACAACTACAACAAACACTGACATTGATGGCTTCAGACTGAGGGAGGGGGGTGTACCTAGGAAAGAAGACAATATGGTATTTCATTTTTGTCTTAATGCGGATGACTCCTAGTTACCCTCATTCCTGAAAACCACCACCAGTGCTGCACAATATGTACAAAAGCTGTTTTCTGAAATGTGCTTTTAAGGTGGCAAAGAAAGAAGGAGATGGAGAAGCCAAAAGTCAGCAGGGCACCGAGGGCAGCTCTCCTCCTGTGGATACCTCTCCAGCCCAGGTGGACAGAGCTCAGAGCACTGAAAGACTTGAGGGATAAGGGATGCAGTCCAGGGCCTGCCCCAGCTGGGGAGGCCAATGTGTGTACAAAGACAGATGCTAAAGGCCACACCCTTGGGTTAAAGGTAAAGTAGAAATAACCACCCCACACACTGGGAAACTGAAAACAAACAAATAAACAAACAAACAAAAATCCAGTCTATTCGAACTTTGGCATGGTATAAAGGAGAACAGGAAACTTCCTTAGAGAAATGGTAGCTACAAGTTAATTCTCATAGTGTTTAGCAGCTGAGTGCTCAGTGACCGGGCAGTCCAAGAACCCCAAGCCAACAATCTCATGTCAAGTGTTCCTGGCTTGACATGGAACCACTGCCAAAGAATATAAAATACATGTTTAATCTCTTTTAAGATCTAGAAGAGGGGCCGGGGAGATGGCTCAGTAGAATAAGCGCTTCCCTGGCAAGTGCAAGGGTCTGAGTTCAATCCCTGGTTCCACCTAAATAAATAAATAAATAAATACATAAACCTTTAAAAAGAAAGAATGAAATAGAACTGAGACCAGGTATGGTGGTGCACACCTGTAATCCCGGCACTGGGGAGGATTAAAACAGGAGGGTCACTAGGAGTCAGAGCTGCATAATGAGACCTGGCACCAAATACAGAAAAAAGAGAAAGAAATAGAAGAACTAAAATAAATTAGTATAAAGCAAACATTATGAAAATAATCGTTTACAAAAGATTCAGAAAGGTAGCCAAAATACCAGTGCCCTTGCTAATAATTTCACAGCTGTAGAAGAAGGTTTCACGCAAGCTTAGATACCACCTTCAAATCCCCATATAAGTAAAGATATCTCAAGCCACAGCACCGGAAGAGCAAAAGGCAACAGCAGAGAAGCCTCAGTTATTCAGGCCTCCAGGAAAACCAGCACACATATATATGAACATCTACACAATAATGAATCCTCTCCTCTGTTCCAAAAAAGCCTATTTGTATTTGGGGCTGTGATACAGTTATATAGTTTGTTCATTGTGCAATAGGATGCAGACCAGGGGCAAATAATCAATGAATAACTAACTTTTTTGCCAGTATTCAAAATTCCCTGGTCCAAATATTCTCCCCACCAAGCCTTACTCCAAGCCAGAGACTTTATCTTACTTCTCTATAATACAGAGCCAGAGATCCCCTGCTCAGCCTTTCATGTACTCCAAACTATAAAAAGTTATATCCAGAAGCAATTGGTGGTGGTTTTCAGAAACCATCGTAGGGCCAAGGTCAGAGCCAGTTAGTGGTGGGTCCAGGTAGAATATAACTCAAGCAAGCTGCTCTCTTCGTACGTAGGTTTGGTATTAGACCTTCATTGTAAAAATGAACATCTGTGACCAGGGAGCCTCCAACCAGCCTCTATCGCTCAGGATTGAGAGGGTTTCCAGGATGCAAGCTTTAAACCCAGGACAACTCAGATCTAGTTGGTCACCCCATTTGTCCATCACGGGTTCACCTTCACTCCACTCTTGGTCATCTTGCTGACAGACTCAAAATCTGAAATAATGAAGGCCACCAGGTAGGTGCTCATCTTCACAGTGACATCAAAATGGTCTTCTATGAGTCCTTCGGCAATAGTCACAGATTTCACCTAAAAGCCAAGCAATTCAGATTATCAAGTAATCCAATTATTCAAACACTCTTAACAAATTATAACGAATAATTTCCCCAATTACCCAACATATGGCATGACACACAGCCAGAGATTCCCTGCTTAGGCTTCCATGTGTACTTCCAAACTGTAGAACGTTATAACCAGAAGCAAGGTCAGAGCCAGCTAGCCAACGAAGCATATGGCATGACATTTCCATAATTCCTTTAAAATTTCTCTAATGCCTGATTATAATTTGTATACTAGGATCACACCATTTTATCATTTTTTTTCTTAATTGAGATATAATTCACATGCCACAAAATTCACCTCTACACGATCCAGGGGTTTTTACTATATTCATAAAGCTGAACTGTGAATTCTCTTAAGTAATTCAGATGAATGCAAACTTACTTATCTGTGGCACATGTGGACTGATGACACTGATGGGGCAAGGCAAAGCTGAGATGGCTGGGCTTGCCCAAACATCCTGCACTTATCCTTAAATTGAGGGCTGAGAATTAACTGGAAATGAGAAGTCTAGTATACTCTACACTGGACAAATACATACCCATGAACCACCTAAAAAGAACAGGGGATTTCCTCTACAACTGAAAGTCATCTACATCTGGTCTGATCTGCCAAATTCCTTCCAGACTCGGATTGGCTTCACTGGCACTCAGGGCGTTCAGGGAATGGCTGTGCAGATACTCTGGGGTTGAGGAGGATGCGGTCTAAGAGATCTGCTCTTGCGGGGAAGATCGGATGCCTCCGAATCAGCGAGTGCTGGACTGAGATCTTGGAGGAGTGGACAGCCACGCTTTCTGTGACCACAAGCCATCTCTATTTCTGTGCCTTCAGTCTTCTCCATAACAGCCACCAGCCACAGCTGCTTTTGGTCACTTAAACTGATTCTTCCACATAACCTAGATTTCCACTTAAAACATTCCAGAGTATTTTTTAAAATGTCTTCTATTTATCTCCACCAAAATTTTCAGCATACTAACTCAAATTTAAGTATGATCCATTCCTGCTCACTCACTGCCTGAACCCTGGGAGGTTCCACAGTACAGTATTTGATTCCCCCGCCATTTCCTCTTGACTCCATCCCTGCAACCAGGAGTCAGGCTACTCCTATTATATTTGGGCCATGACAATTATAATGTTCAATTGATAAGATTACATTAGAGACTTTCCTATTCTTAACACGTGGATCCTGGATATCAGGATTTATTTGTTTATTTATTTATTTACTTTTGGTAGCAGAATTGAACTCAGGACCTTGGGCTTGCCAGGCAGGCTTTTGTGCCACTGACCTGTACTCCTGGCCTGGAAAGCAGGGTTTGGAATAGTCAGCACCTTACAGACTCTCCAGAGCTTCCAGTCATTTCACTGCAAGCCTACAGCTATCCCCACTAGTCCTGCGAGGCCTTCAACCTCTTGCACATCTGCTTCCCGTCCTTCGTTCTGCTGGATCTGTGGCACTCGGAGAATGGCATTCCTGTTGCACAGTGTGATGTCATAATATAACGGGGGGGAAATGATTGTAATTTGAAAAGGCATATTGTTGCACTCATGCTTTTTCAAGGGAATTGATTTAATGCAGGACATTTGATTTAAAGGATTATTTTGTAATAATCACCAAAAATATCAAATGCACAGGAGTGCTAGAGATCTGAGCACATGCGAGAGAATCAAAGAATCCAGCTGAGTATACAGTTACTTTCTCTTAGATACACAGCTACTTTCTCTCAGTTCAATGAGAAGAAAGGTTTTTCCTAATATTGTTTAGACAAGATATCATGTTTGCATCTTGTATTCAGAATAACTACCGTGAAGACAACATGCAATGTATTAATTATTGTAACTGTTCTACTAACCTGTTTTGAAACTGTTTCATTGCTATTTTTTCTCATTAAAATTAATTAAAAAAATAAAGAAAAAAAAAGAATCCAGCTGAGGCAGTGTCCTGCATGGCACTGTCCTGCTGCAGTCCAGCTGGAGACCGTGAGCCCATGGCAGTGCTCTCCCGAGAGCCCGCCGTGTCTCATGCAAGTCTGTATCAAGCACCGGCACTGGGAAGGCCCAGAGGTCAGTGGTGGAAGCTAGAAACGCTGTGCTAGCAGGGTGAAAGATCTCTGCCAGCAGGCTGAGGGATCTGTAATGCAGCGAAGAAGCAAGGCGAACAAGTAAGGACCAGAGTTCCCATGAAGAGGACTGCAGCCATCCTCAGTGACAGCGAGAATGTGAGCTCCTCCAAAGATGGCAACAGCTGAGTTCATACCAGACTCCAGGACAGTCAACAGCATAAGCATCTTCCCCTCCAGTTCTCTTTCTGCTGTTGGCAACCGTCCTCACATGGGTCTTCCACACCCACAGCCACACTGACTCAGTTCAGGTAGGTGTCCCAGGTTCACCATGAATTAATCCACCCCACATTCTCCATGTCAATTTAAATGAAGAAAGTAGCATAATTATATTCTGGCTTCTCCTACTGTAATGGTTGATATATTGTGACAACTTGAAAAGTTTAATTAAGTAAGCAGTTCTACAAGCTAGGGTGTCGAGGACATGCCCTAGGGAGGCTGTTTGTGCCCTAGGATGTTGTAAGGGTTGATTCATTGTGTCACCCTGAGAAGTTGAGAAGTTTAACTAAGTGACTCAGCAGGGAGCCAGAGCCTCGCTTTGCAAACACCCTGAACCTGTGGAAGAGAAAAGGGCATGCGGCTCATAATACAAGGGAGAAAAAGAGGCTTGCTCTCTCCACCTTTTCACTCCTGTTGCTTTTGTTGTCTTTTGCCATCATGAACAGCTGCCCGACTGCCACACCACGTGACTTAGAGCCAGCTGATTATGGATTGAAACCTCCAAACTGTGGTCTAAATAACCCTTTCCTCCTTTAATTCTGGGTGTCAGGTATTTTGTCTCAGCAATGAGAAAAGTAACTGGGAACAGCGATGTTGGGAACAGCGACCAACGTTCTTGGCTGATGGGATTCACAAAAGAGCACTTTCGCTGGAGGACAGTCCTTTAGGAGGGGCCATAATCTTCTCTGAGGAAAGGATCCCTAAGGTATTCCCAGGTGGATAAAAGCTGTAAGGCTGAGAAGCCAGCATGCAGCAATCAGTGTTCTTCATCCTTGGCCATTATAGGAACGAAGCTAGATGCCATTTAGGGCTCTGGGAGAGCTCTGTTACATCTGTTTTCATCCATAATGAGCTGCTCTGAACAAAACCTGTTCTTGCTAGGTCAGTACACACAGCTGAAGAAGAGCCCCCTTGACGCTGTGTAAGCTGCCACATTGTAGGATAATGACGGTGATGAACGATTTTTTTTTAGCTTTACCTTGGTCATCTCACTATGTTTAAAAATCAGAGGGATACTGTCAACATCTGCTTTGAAACTGGACAATACTGGCTTCTTTTAAGGGGATATCCATCTATATTATTTGAAATCCAGCATCATGATATCCTGTGAAAAGACTGTTTTTCTGTCTGTCCAGTTTTGCAATATAAATTGTATAGTTTTTGTTACTTATAGTATATACTACATGGAAATTACCCCAAAAGTCTATAGACTAAAAATACGACCTTATTTGACAAAGCATTTTTGTTTAAGATCCTTTTAAATGATTGCATAAGGATGGGTGGAAGTGTTTCACTAAGGGAAACTCCATCCAGATTCCTTACATGATTTCCCTCCAATCAGCCTTGATCACCTGGAATGTCATTCTTCCTGAAATCTCAAATTTTTTAGGAGAAATTCTTTCTTTGAGTGTAAATACATGGTAGCTTAACACAAACAAGTGTATAGGCTAGAAATGAAAAAGAAAAGTTAGCAACTATCTGTGAGGGGATAGAACAAACCCAACTCAAATGGCTGCTGGCTGCTCCAGGGGCACTGGAGCCACAGCGAATGCCTCGATTGCCCTGCACTTGGATGCACGCTTCAGACTCACCAGGGGCATGTTGGAGATGGCCACGTGCCTTGGCTCCCTTCTGATCCGGATGGAGAAACTCGCTTTGAAGGCAGGCTCATCAAAACAGGGAAAGGCCATTCTAGCGGCAATGGGTTCAAACTGTGTGGAGGCGAGTACCCTACAATCACAGAAAGGGAACTAAAACAGAGCGTGATGTGCCAGACATCCAAACTCAGTGTCACTTCTTTTTTTTTAATTTCTGAAGTTAAGATATGACTGATTTCATTACTCAATGAGTATTTTTAAAACATAAAAGAAAAAAAGTATTTTATATGACAAAAGCTTATATAAACTAAGTTAAAAGACAAACCACTGGGGAGATTCCTACAGAAATATCCGAGGAAGAGTTAACAGCCTAAGGGTGCTGAGCCAGCCCTAACCCAGAGCAAACTGAGATGGTGACTGAGACTAGGCGTGGTGGTGCACACCTGTAATCCCAGCACTTTGGAGGCTGAAAACAGGAGAATCACTGAGTCTGATCTGTGTAGTGAGACCCTGTACCCTGTAGACCTTGCACTAAATACATTAAAAAAAAAAAGTTGATAGCCTAAGAACCAGTGAATTCTTAAAAAAATAGCAAGAACATATCTAGTGATCTGGTGGAATCTTAGACAAAGGTCAGAAACAGGCAATTTACAAAAGCAAAAACCATTAGCAAATATATCAAAAGTTTTTCAACTTTCTTATTCATTAAAGTGGTACAAATAAGGAAGATTCTAGGCTGAAGAAATAGCTCAGTGGTCTAAGCACCTGCCTAGGCAAGCACAAGGACCCAGGTTTGATTCCTGGTACCCCATGCCGTGCTGGCCCCACCCCAGGTGCCAAGCCATCCACCAAGACCAGGCGTGGTGACGCATCCCGTGATCTCAGCCCTGAGGAGGCTGAGACAGGAGGATCACTACAAGTCTGAGCTGAATAGTGAGGCCCTGTACCAAATAGGTAAAATTTAAAAATAAATAAATAAGGAAGATTCCATGCTAATACATAGCATGATTAGTGGTGGAAAAATACAGCCAGGGCTATCAGAAGCTTGTAGATTGTTTGACTTACCAATTTTACTTCTAGAGATTTAAAAAGATGATTTTTAAGAATGTTCATCAAATAATTTCTAATACTAAAAAGTTGGAGACAATTTCACTCCTGGGAGACTAGTTACATAAATTAACATATAAGCATGCTAATAAAACTGTGAATGTCATGCATAACAATAACCATTACTGTGAAACATCTTTCCAATATATTAAACTTTTTAAAACTCCCTTATAAAACAGAAAGTAAAATGCATAAATAAAATATAAATCTGGAGACAAGTTTGAAAGAATGTTTCCCTGAAGCAGAAGTAGTAGTTCTCTGAGACGGGGCTTTATTTGGCATAAACTTTATTTTTTAGAAATTCTTTTGGTTGCACCTGACTTCTCACCTTGATAAAATAATATCAAATCAGTATAATTGACAAGAAATTTTAATGTTAAAATTTAGCATAAAATTCCTCAAATTCATCTTCTCATTAGGAAAAATATACATCTTCTCCTTAAAACAGGACCAAAACAAGATAATGGAAATCTCTAAAAATGTTTTAACTGAAAATGTTTCTTCTAATGGGCTGTATGGGCTGAACTGCATCCCTTCCAATGGTACTTTGATGTCCTTACCTCCTCTCTCTTTCTCATTTGGAAATGGTGTGTGTATGCAAATGAAATAAAGTTACAATGGAGCCCTCAGGCCGGGACTTGAACCAGGATGTCTGGCACTGGTGGGGTCCAGGCTGCGTCAGAGTTGAGCTGCTGACTGCAGTGTTCTCTGGATTCACAGACTCCAGACCATGTAAGGCTTTCACTCAAAGGATTCAAGAGCACTACAACAGCCAACCTTGGAGATAGACAGTTCCCTTAATTGGCAAGATTTACTGTCTTTGTTCTAACTTCTCAAAGCCTGGTCAGGCTCGTGGGCCTTTGCAGTTCTCGACACACACCCTGCTTTGGAACCAAGCGAATACTGGTGGTCTAGAGAAGTCTCTGTCTTAGCTCCTCATGAATTCTGACCTTCCTGGACTCCCACAAAACTGTATTACTTATCTATTTATTAAAACCTTCACTATAACCCATTTTAGGAGATTAGGGGCTCAGGCCAAGTCCCCCATATGGCACCCTAATAAAATGATGAAAATCTGGACACAGGGAAACACAGAGAGAGTGGTCATGTCACAGCACAGCAGTGATGCAGTTGAGAGGCCACAGAGTGTCAGGGCCACATGGCCAGCACCAGATGCTAGGAAGAGGCAAGAGCAATTGAATTCAGAGTCAGACAGACCTGGGTGTGCTGTCGCCTTGATTTCAGATTTCTAGTCTCTAAAATTGTGAGAAAATAAGTGTTCCTCTCCCCACTTTTTATGGCTCCGGAGACTGAACCCAATTCCCTTGTATTTTGATACTTCCCCAGTTCTTTTTAAAATTATATTTATTTTCATTTTTAGGCAGGGTTCTACTATGTAAGTAAATGGACCAGAAAACTCGAGCCCTTCCTTCCTCTGCCTCCCAGAGGATGATGGCGCACACCACCATGATGGCTAATGTCTTTTCATTTTTAAGGGATACACTTTGTGGTACTTTAATGCCTAACAAAAAGAATTAGAAATACTTGGCATGCCTCAAATCTAGTTTGATAAACAGACAGTTGTCTCATAGAGCTGGAGGAAAGAAAACCTGGTTACTATAGAAAGAAAAATGAGATTCAAAAAAGCAAGGAAAAAAAAAACAAACAAACCACTGCTCGATGTTAACATTATAAATAAAATGCAAAAACCAACACCAAAGAGAGTTTAAAAACAAAGTAAAATAACATAATACAGGCAGCCCTTGAAACTTCAAATGCTAAAGTTACCTCACTTCGCCCTGCTTGGTCCTGTAGGTGCTTTTATAGAATCCGTGGAAGGTATCAGACAGATTGCCGGTGTAGTCAATACTAACTATGTATGGAAATCCAACGAGGAGGGGCTGAGGAGCTAGAAGAGCCACCTGTTCATGGAGGGGATTTTCCAGGACCCTCAGCGGTTCCTCGGATGGCCCCTGTCCCGCTCCTCTCCTGAGGGTGGCTTTAAAAATTTGCAGGTTGTGGCTATGCAGGATAATGGCACTGGTGGGCTGGCTGGCTGTGACTTCTATTTCCGTTGTGCCCCAGAAGTTGAGCGTGCTGAGGTTTGCGTGGATCATGAGGTCATAGTGAACTGGGATGACGTACTCAGGGAGTCGCACTTTGTTCCAAGGAAATGGAGATCCATCCCTAGCTTCCGGAGCTGTAGTGTCGCTGTGCTGACACCATGAAAGCGTTGACACAGCTAAGAGAGTTAGTGAGGGGAGCAGAAACGACTCTCTTGTGAGAGGCCACTTGAGCGCTAGAGACACCATCTTCCTGCTCAAAGTACCTAGAACCACAAATGTATAAAAAGCAAAATTAAAAGTCATTAAAGTGCTATCAAATACCTACTATCAGAATTTATCTATCCAGCATTAACAGATATAGTTAAAAACTTTCAAAAATACTAGATGTTTTCCTGAAAGTAAAATTACCCTCCTTATTAATCACCAGAGAAAATGGTCAGTAACAATATTAACACCTAGTGGAATGCAGCAGAACAAGGTCTAGTTGATGAAGGCAGAAGAAGAATTATGAGAGGATATTAAGTAGTTCAATAATGGTCCCCGAGTTGCAGGAATCTGGGGAAAATAGGTTCATAAAACAGGTAAAGATGGTCAGCAGGAAGCACATCGGGGGAGCACTTCCTCAAAGAACTTCACTGGCACTGGAACTCAGAGTAAGTTGTCTCCTGTGCTGGAATTCAGGGGCTCCGATGGCTGCAACCTCACTAGAATGAAGTCTCATGTCTGAGCTGAGGCGCACAGTACCAAGTAGAGCAGCAGCAACGTGGTGGGCTTCCCAGCTTCCGCACAGGAACATGGGACTTGGTTACTAACCAGGCTCACCAAAGAGAATCGCTAAAGCACAGGGAAGAGACTGAGATGCTGAACGCTGAGGGGACCAAAAGGCAAATCTCTGTAACGGCAGCCTTAAATCACATGAGTGTCTTGGTCACATTGTCGTGCCAAAAGTGAACTTAATATTTACTTATGCTAGAGTGACTTACGAGTTCATGGCACTTATTGCAATAATTTGCGGCACACTTATCAACCACCAGGATTCTCTCTCAACCTATAGCTATGGAAGCCTGCTACACATGCGGCTGTGGGCCGAGTACAGAGTGCAATGTAAGAGCACAGGTCATGGGTCCTTGCCCTTCAGGACTTCAAACTCTGGGAGGTCAGCAAACATTTATGCACAAGCAATAAAGCATGGCACAGAAAGGTGGAGGACTGTAAGGATGAAAATAACAGGTGGTACGAAGAAGTGGAGCGCTGTTGCACAGCGAGTGATTCCGCCTGTAGCGACGCCTCAGGGACCCTCATTCCAGACCAGCCTGTGTGGGGCTGACTTGGAAGTGAAGGGTGACCTTCAGAATACTGTAGGTGGAGGAGCCAGGGAGAAACTAAAGCACAAAGGGAGAAGATGGGCAACTGACATGGACAAAGGGGACCTCCCCAGGGCTTGAGGGAACACATTATTCTCAGGGGAAGGAGGGAACGGATTCCAGGATAATGCTCAAAGTCATGTTGCGGGCCACACGCTGCACTTCATTTTAAAGGGCAAGGGAGACAAAACCAATATGAATTTTAAGAGTTAAAATTTATGCACAGAGAATCAGGCGTAATTCTTTTCTCATATGCAAACACTGCTCTGTACTGAACGCTGGCAAGCAGGGACTCCTATTAAGTGAGCTCAGATAATTTGCTCTAATTCCCTCAAATTCCTTCGACTCGAGGACACACAGGCTATGTAAGAAAAGCAGTGATCCGATGCTGCGGCGCTCTCGAAAGGACGGAGGTACACAGAAGTTTTCCTTTCTAAGAGGTCAGTGGTTCTCAGTATTTCAAAGCAATCCCTGCTGCGCACCCTCCCCTCAGCACTCACTGCCTGCCCATCTCCCTTCCGAGGCACACAGATCAGGCGGCTGCCACTCCCTAGAGGGGCAGGACCTGCAGGAAACTGCCACCTAGGAGATCAGGCTGAACACTTCACTGCCCCAGTTCAAAAGGCACTACCCAGAAGAGAAAGTAAGGAGACACAAGCAGGGAAAACAGGTTTCCAGGCACCTTGTTTGCCTTTTTGCCTACAAACCAATTAAAGGGATGATTCTAGCCATGAAGAAGTGGAGCGATTTAGAGTAGAAAATTAATCTTTAAATACCAATATGGTAAAGAGCGTCTGCTTCCACCTCTTCAGGCAGAATCCTAGGGCAGGGACAAAATGAATTTCCTTTGAAGTTAGGAGGCCGGAAAGCAAAGGGAACTTGTATACTGTTTCCATCCGGAATTTCTGGCAGCAGCAACTTACTGGGTACGGCCCTTGCTCCAAGAAAACAGACAGCTCATAACAGGGCAGGTTCAAGCATGGGCATCCTCCAGGAGCCAAACAGAAGCTCTCAAAGCTCCAGATGCCCCTGGCCTGCCAGCAAGCCTCAGAGGCTGCTACAGGGGTGGGTGGAGGGGCCCACATCAAAGGCTTTGCAAGGTTTGGGCCACAATGAGGAGAGTGAGAACATGGTGTTACCTCAAGGAGGTTTTCAGTTCAGAAAGCCAAAATGGAGTGCAGCACACACAGCCTAAATGTCAGCATGAATTTACTCACAGTCGATGGATAAATGAGGCAAACCTTCCTAAAGACTAGGTCTTTCCTAAGAGGAAAGTTACCTGCATTGTATTGATTTAACCAGTAGGAAGAATTTTACAATCAGCATCAACCATTGTAATCCACTCCAGTTAGCATTCTATAGAATCCTGGGCAGAGTCTATCTTCAAACCTGTAACATTTTAGTGGACTTAATTTTTTACATGTCTGTTTCTCTTTACTGAATTATAAGCTCCTCAAGGCAAAGATCTTGTCTTATTGATGTGGTACATCACAGGCATTCACTGAATGTCTGAGTGAATCACTGAGGTGCAGTTTCCTCTCCTAAGTCATCAAAAGGAGCAATTTCCCTAAAACATAGTACCTCACCGCCACCTCCTGCTTCCTGCAGTCTGGAAAACCAAAGCTGCAGCTGCATCTTAAACCTCCCCAACCTGGCCGCAACTATAGGATGTGCTATGGACTTCATCCCCCAAAGTGCCCAGCACTTCTCGCTCTGTCTATATCCTCCCTCAAGGGTTCCTTCTACAACAACTTTCTCCAGTCTTTCAGGGTCCAATTCAAGTGAGGCGTCTCACGGAATTGTTCTTTGAATAAATCCTGGCACAAGTGAATTCTTTTTCCTTTGAAACTCACACTCTCTACGATCTTTTCATCGCATCTCATTATCCCCAGCCTTGTGATACTATGATCGATGCACTTGTGATGCATCCCACTGTATCGTAAACTCCCTGAGAACAAAAATATATGCGTGGCTGTGCTTCCCGCAGCACCTAGAACTGCATCCTGCACATGGGAAGGACTGGTTGAAAACTGAGTGCTGTGAATTCTGAGTTTCACAGATGAGATTCTTTTGCAATCCCTGACAGTCTGTGATCATATTCCAGTGTGGTTAGCTCGTTCCTCGAAACAGAAGCTCTTCCTATCTGGTAAGCCTGAAACAAAGCGCTCCATAGCTCTGGATGTTCTCTAAGAGTTGAATTTTATTATTATTAATTCTCCAAAACAGATACAACTCAAAACAAGGGCTCTCTGAATCAGTATATGCAGCACCTCAAGCAAAATGCAATTTTTCTTGAGGTTATATTCCAATAGCATCTAAAGAGACAGAATCAAAGACAGAAAGACCCAATATTTGCTATGCATCCACGGAATGCCAAGCACTGTACGTGTGTGTCACGCCTCTCCGGTAGGAAACAGTTTCCATTTTTGAGGTGGCGAAACTGAAACAAAGAAACATTCTGAAACTGAAACAAAGAAACATTCACGTAAGCGGGCCAAGTTCACCCTAAAGAGAATGCAAGTGAGATTACAGCCCGTGTGGTTAGAGACCCAGGCATCCTCCTTCCAGTCTCATTCCCCACAGACACTACTCCCTCCTCCTCCTCCTCTGCATGTCTGCAAGGCACCCAAGGCAGCACACTGCCTCGCTAAAAACTCCAAGAAGTGGCGGCCTCTGCTGTCTTTCTACAGAGGTGGAGATTCTCTCTGTCTCTCTCTCTCTCTCTCTCTCTCTCTCTCTCTCTCTCTCACATAATTATATCAGCCACCTAATGTATGACCTTAGGAGGTTACTTAGCCCCACTTTCATTCTCATCATGTGTGAAATGAGATAATTAACACTGTACCTCCCTCACAAAATTGTTGCAAAGATTAAAGCTGTTAAAAGAATTTCATTTATTCCACAAATATTTCAGAGCTTATTCTGTGAATTGCGTTGCTGAATACTAGCAATAGTATACAACACAGGTCCCTGCGTTTACATGAAGGATAGGTTTTTAATATTTTTATATGAATCTATGTCAATGTGGCCAACGGTTGTGTATGTGTGTATGGAGGAATTCACACACACACACACACACACACACACACACACACACACAATGCAAAAGAATCATACTGGGCTATGGTGGTGCACACCTGTAATCGTAGCACTGTCGGAGGCTGAGGCAGGAAGATGGAGAATTCAAACTGAGCTTGGCCACTTAGCAGCTTAATGAAATCCTGTCTCAAAATGAGGAAAAAAAAGGGCTGGAGATGGAGATTAGTGCAAAGGCCATAGGTTCAATCCAAAGAGAGAGAGAGAGAGAGAGAGAGAGAGAGAGAGAGAGAGAGAGAGAGAGAGAGAGAGACAGGAACAGCAGGCCAATTTACATTATGAAGGCAGCTTTCTGATGAGACTTATAGGTCAAATGAGGATAAACTAAGAAGAAGGAGGAAAATGTCCGGACAGAGGACACAGCATGTATTCACAGGCAGGCTGAGGCAGTAGAAAGCACTGGTCATGAAGGCCAGGGAACAGGAAATGCAGAGTGTGTGGGGCGGTGGCACCTGGTAAAAAGGCGGAAGTCAGACCCACACTGCTCTGCAGGCTTGCGAAGGATTTCTGATGCCTCTAAGAGCCACGTAAACCTACCAGAAGGCTTCAGCGCCAAGTCTAAGGACTCAATGCACATTTCAATACAATCGCTCTGGCTGCTGAATGGAGGGCAGAAATCAACTAAAGCAGTAGCTAAGAGACTAGTCGGTCTCCTTCACCAAGACAAGGTTGACTAGTGCCCTATGGCTTTGAGGCTAGACTCTCTGTAAGGTGGGCAAAACTGGAGGGTGAGGGAGAAAATAGTCATCGTTATGTTGTAGGCAGCTAAATTAGTGAATCAGACAGAAACATTATAGGCAGTGAGTCAGGGGTGGGCCTTCAAAGACAATATGGCAGACAAGAGCCCTTGGAACTGTGGGAGAGAGATGGGCACCTCTGACATGGGCCAGACCTCAAGACAGGAGATCAAACAAATGCACCCACATACCTCCTAGGGATAGACAACAGGGATGGATATTCTAAGTACCTACTTAAAAAGTCAGGAGGAGTCACTAACCAACACACTACAGGAAAAGCCCGTTCTGCATTCTTGCCTGCTCGTTGTGTAACTCGCTTCTCCGTTTGATCCTGACTTAATCAATTTTGCCTGAGCAATTATAATCTTATTAGTGGACCATATTTTCATCCCCCCACATGCAATTTCCTATGTTTCCCACCTTAGACACGCCTCACTTTCTGGTTTTGCACTATAAAAATCCCTAGAAAATGCAGGTTCCCTGGCAACTCACTGGGGTCCCCTTCTGTCCCTCTCTCAGACAGAAGCTTTCTTTCCCCTCAGTGAATATATTCTGCTCTTAAACTCTGTTTTTCCTAAAATTCATTCTTTGATTTTTAGAGAACACAAACTCATCCCAGGTCTCTTTCAGGTTTGTGTTTCTTTCCCCTGTGTCAGTCAGACCTAGCTACCTTTTCTAGAATGATCTGGTGTTTAGGGCTACCCTTTTGGGAGATAGAGAGGACCAGAAGTGGAACAGATTTTAAAGGGAGCGAAAGAATCTTAAATGCATTTTTAGAATATTTAACTCACGATGCCTCGGAGATATCCAAGAGGAAAATTCAGGCAAGCAGTAGAATGCAGGTTTACACTATAAAGGTAAAGGTTTTAAAGAACTTTCTCATAATTGACTGTATTTCTTTGAAATCTTAAAAAGGCTTCTTCTTTAGGACATCTCATCAAAATACTGTTCACAGTCAGTATCTTCAGTGAACCTTCCTTGGGCTGCTCTTGGTAACACTTAACTTTTTCCCATGCCCGGAAGAAATCAGATTATTTGTCTCTTTTTAAAGAGACAAACGCCAAAGAAGTCATGTTGCAGGTAGCTGAGTTCAATAGAAATATTACAGGCCGTCAGACAGGGCTAGGCCCTGGAAGGAGATAACACAGAAGACAAGATACCTTGTAACTGCTAGAGGGACAAATGCTCCTGCTGTGGGCCAGACCTAAAGACCAAAGATCAAATAAATGCTGACTTCCCTAAAGATTTGCGTCTGGGATTGATCATCACTCTGAAGAAGCCAGGAAGAGTCATTAATCCGACTACTACTGGCTGGCTACCCCAGAAAGTCCTGTTCTATGTTCATGCCCACTTGCTATGTGACTGGCCTATCCATTTGATCCTGGCTTTAATCAATTCTATCTAAGCAACGGTGCTTATAATCCCACTGGTTGAGCACAGTTTTGTCCTACCTCATGTACCCCTATCTCATGTCCCATTTTTTCCACCTTAACTTGGAAGACACAGCTTCTGGGGCAACCTGCTAGGGTCCCCCTTCTGTTCCTCTCAGACAGAAGCTTTCTTTGCCAAGAAATATTCTGCTGTTAAACTTCGTTTGTTCCTAAAATTCATTCTAAGGTTTTAGAGGACGTGAACTCGCCCAGGTGCCTTTCCAGTCAGGAGTCTCATTCCCCTGTATCAATCATAAGCGACAATGCAAAATTTCTAAACAAGGAAATGACTGTCAAAGCTCTGAAAATAGCTTGCCACTAGGAACAAATGATTTAAATGTCGAATTAATTTGAATTTAAAAAAAAATAACATAAGTTTCTATTTTGGCCCACCTGACAACGTGCTCAGCACACTTCCACATCCTTGACGGGTAATGGTAACATGCCAATTTTGTTTTTTAAATATTTTTCAGTGACTGACCACATCCTGACTAAGGGGAAACGCGGCCTTTCTTTTCGAACTGTGTCTACACAGAAAACTTGCATCAAGACCCCAAAGGAAGGGTGCACCTTTCCCTGCAGGGCCCTGCTAGCGAGTGGCCCCGGCCGGAAGCTGCCGTCGGGCTCTGCAAGAGCCTCTGCCCGAACCAAGCCCGGGAGGAGGCAGCAGCGGCCGCAGGGGCCGGGCAAGGAGCCCAGGAGAAGGGGGGAACGGATCAGGAGGTCAGGGTGGGTAGGGTCCGCCAGCTCCCCGCCCCGGCCCTGAGCGCAGCCCGAAGCCGGGCTCCCCCCTGGCAGCCCCGAGAGCTGTGCCCTCTGCGGCCCGCGCCCCAGCCAGGCGAGGCGGCCGGAGGGAGGGACGCGGGGCGGCGCCAGCACGCGCGGGCCGCTGCTCCCCTCTGCCCGGGACCGACCTGGCACCCCGACCCGACCCCGACGCCTGCCCGCGCCCCAGCCCGCAGGGGCGAGGGGTCCCGGCGCTCACCGCGCTCTACCTGGGGACCCGGCCGCGCCGCTCACCCTCGCGCAGCCACCGGCCTCGACCTCGCCGCCCCGGGACTGAAAGTGAAAGTGAGGCCTGGCCTGGCAAGCCGGGGCTGCGCGGGGAGCCCGGCCCGGGAGCGGGCGGAGGGGAGGCCTGGGGTGCGCCGGCGTCGGGCGAGGGGTCTGCGGAGCCTGCAGGGCAGCGCGCCGCAGGCCCGGGGGCTGCGGGGTCGGGCGGGGAGTGCACGCCCTCGGGGAGCCGGGCTCTCGCGTCTCTCTCTGTGTGTCCGTGCGTCCGTCCGTCTCCCCCCAGTGTTTCTTTTGACATGGTTTGGTAGTTTCCCCTGGTGGTTACCACATTAACGCAGCAGGACCCCAGATTCACTTGGGAAGCTGGGGCACCTGCAGCCGCTGGCTGGCCGCCGCACCCAGCCTGCAGGGCGTAGACGCCCTAGCACTCAGCCGGGAAGAAGCTTGACGCCCATTGGAGTCGCTCCGTGCCGGTCTGGTGGCCTCTGCAAGCGGACTGGGAGCGTTTGGCCCGCCTCGGCGACCGGAAGCCAGAGGGGTGGAGTTTTGCTACAGAACGGTGCGCCCCCTGGCGCTTCTGCGTGGCAGGCGTGATGACCTCTGAGCTCTAGGAGGGAGGGTTAAACACAGTTCTGCAAGCTCTTGTTTGAACTCTTGGGTTTGGCCCAAAGCTCTGTGAGGGGGACAGAGGCTGGCTTAAGTGAAGCATGTGGTCCTAGAAATGCCTGCGTCCACTGGGAAATGGGACTACAACACTGGAAGAAATTGATCAAGTAGTTTCAAGCATTAGGCTACCTTTTGTAGCCCAACACTTACTAAGGGACAGTTCCTCTTATCGTCTAAACCCATGAATTTGCACTAAGTGGAAGCAAGGGCTAGAAGACGTGCTCTGGCTCTTGAGAAGACAGTCACTCCGGGCTATCCTGGTGGTCAAGAATACTGGCCTTCTGTGTTTTCTAGCCGCTGTCTGGACTGCAGCAGAACCCTCAGATCACTCACAAAGCTAAGGAATGGGGACAGCTGGTGTTTAGAGGACCTCTGAGTCAAACACTAGCTATAAAAGTGGAGGAGAGATAATTTGGGCATCAAAATTAAAGGCAGCGCAATAACCCGAGCCCGCAATAGTAATTGGGATCCTCAGCGCTGATGCCTCATCTGGTCTTATTTGGCTCCAGGTCTTATCCTGTAATTTTGTTCTGCCTGACAGAGACTTCGTTTCCATAGATGACCTCAGTGGCAGCCACTCTTGATAGCCTGCCCCAAGTCCATAATTTTGCTTCCTCAGTAGGTGTAAGTGGACCCCAGTAAACTACCTAGGTAAAATCAGATTGGGATGGTCTGTATTCTTAAGGCAGAGAAGGAAACATGCATTAGGAAAATAACTGGTGGGTGAGTATTTGGGAAGAAGTTAGAGAAAAGAAGCCAGAAAGGTTTTTTTGTTTGTTTGTTTTTGTTTTTGTCTCAAAATTTTTGTTTGTTTGTTTTTGTTTTTGTCTCACTATATGTACGTTGGGTTGGCCTTGAGCTCACATACAGCCCAGGCTGGCCTCAAAGTCAGGGCGATCCTCCTGCCTCAGCTTCCTGAGTGTTGGGATTTAGGGTTTATGACACCATGCTTTAGGAAAGATATGTTTCTTAATTGAGCTGAAAATGTGATTATTGTGCAAATAAGGAAATGTTAATGAGAAATTAATGCTAGGTGAAAACTTTCACTTACATACAGATAATGGATCATGCTCTGGTTACCAAAAGGACTGATACTGAACTTAGGAGGGAGATGGAGGCTGACATCATGTCAGATAAGGAAACCAATAACTAAATTTGAACACCTGGTAAAAATAATGATTAAAGGAGGAAGGGGCAGAACAGGTCCTTTACAAGACAGAAAATGACACAGGCATGAGGAAGCTCAAAGGCAAACAAGTTCAGGAGAAGAGCCAAGGAAGAGGCAGAGTTCTTAGGGCTGGGGGTCAGAGTAGGACCCGAGGAGCCAGGGCTGCTGCAGAGAAGGTTCTAGCACCTGAGAGGCTGGAAAGACCTACATAAGGAGCCGCTCAGGAAGCAGGGCCAGTCCACATCCACACAAGGCAGAAATTTGAAAATCTTGTTTCATTTCCAATATCTGCCTCTCAGCTGACAAGGCCTAGGATGAGGGAGAGCGTGAGACAGACTCAGTCAGCCGAAGGTATTAAAACTAAGTTGTGCTTAAATTAGTGAGTGTTCTGGACTTTTCTCTCTCTGTAAATGGTGTTAAATGTGGTTTTCCCCATGGTCTTCCGGTCTTGGTGGTAAATTCCTAAATTTAATAGACTCTGTGTGAGTTTATCAGACAGTTTCCATCCTGAAAGATGCAGATAACAAAATCATGAAAAGTAAAAGTGATATTACTCATTTAATCACTCTTAAATCCACTGCTAACTAAAATACGAATGCTACTGGAATGTTTTCATTTCTACTCTTCCTCCTTCTCCTTTTCTTCTTGTAATCAGTAACGTATTCATAGATGCAGATGCAGTCAGTAAATTTAACCAAGGAAATGTGTCAGATTAATTTAAGAAACTAGTTTAAAAAGAAAAGACTTCTGAATTCCACACTGAGAAATTCTGTACTATAGATCTTGAGTAGAGATAGATACAAAGATAGATACGAAACATTTTCATTTTGAAGAGCCCTTTGTTTTATTACTGCTAGAGTGAGAGCAAGAGAGCTTTTCTACACTTCAAGCAGGAAACAGAGTTCATAAATCCCCAACAGCTCCACAACTGGGCAACATCAACACCGATTCTGGACCTCGGAAGAACACTTGGACATGATGTAGGTAAAGGAGAGAGCAGAGAGCAGGGAGCTCGAACTTAGCTGTGGCTGTTGACAGCTGTCTGGGTCCTTCTCTTAGGTCTCTTCCCAATGGAGAACTCGAGAACTGAAAGCTTGGGGGCTAACACATGGATATTTAGTGCAGAGAATGCCCCAGAGAGTCCCTTCTGTTTGTAGGGTCCAATCTGTAACTACTCAGGTGGCCAATGTGAGGTGTGCACACCAAGGAATTAATAAATGTTACTGTTTAGGAAGCACAAACTCTTAAGAAGAAGGACAGCCCAAAGGCAGGAGCATTGTGTCAACTAGGACACTTTGGAAGACAGAGTGAAGGCTGACCCAGTGAGAGATGGAGGCCCAGCGACCTGTATACATCACGTGTTCCCATTGTGTTCTAAACTGTGTGATTTATGTTGTCACTTTCCAAGACATCACGTGATACACTTGGAAGCTAAAATGAATATTCACTAATTGACCCAAAGTACATGATCAGAAGAATAATTAACCTTAAAAGCACTGAAGGCCATTGCTACCAGCTAGTTCAAGGGCACAGAGAAGCTCAGAGAACGATGGAGAATGCATCGGAAGCATCAAGATCAGTCCAGGTATGTTGAACAACAGAGGTGTCCTTGGGAATCTGACCCACCGCATATCACTGGGAAGTGTAATGGTCTTCTAATTAACCACTCTATTGACAGCAGCAATAGAACTCTGTTCTGTGCTCTGTGTCTATGCAACTATAAAGAAAGAAAAAAACACTTATGTTAAAAATGATGTTTTAAAACATGGCTTATGCAGCTATTGAGAAGCTTTTAAAAACGCACAGTCTGAGCTTCCATCAACAAATCCCAGAGCCGCAGGGCAGACCTTGGCCACCAGTGAAGTGTGTCTCTGGCTGGGACCCAGAAGCCAGGTGCCAAATGGGGCAGCTGCTGGCTCAGTCACTGGCTCCACAGTCACATCACATATACTACAATCTGTCCCAGCAAAAGGAACCCCCTCAAGCCTGGCCTCGCTCCTTAGTGGACTCCCTTTCACATTCAAGTCTACCACCAGCGCTTCTGTTTGGCAGAGCCTAAGGCAAATCCAGAACCCACAAGTGAAGAGGCTATGAAATAAATGCTTGCCCATCTGACTGCAGCAATGGGAGGAATTTGCAGAGATGCTGAGTGAGCCAGCCACGCTATCTACCACAAATATCAAACTGTTTTGAGATTTAACAAATCAAAAAATTAAAAGATTATAGAGTGGCCTCAAATAATTTTGATTGTTATTAAAGACAAAAGCAATTGGGAAATGGGTTGTAGACTTAGATTAGAAGAAGCATGGCATGCTTGGGAATGAAATACTTAAATCTGTTTGTTAAATATTTAACATAAGCACACGGCCCCAAATAGCTACCATTGGGAATGTCTCTAGAGCCTCTGTTTGTTTTCTTTTGTCTACTCAATGCACCTATCTCCTCTCTTGACAAATTAACAGTCATATTATTTAATCTAAGTCCATACTGAGTGTAACATCTCCATTCTCTCATGATGTTGACTGGACCAAGGATGATGACCAAAGCCAAATCAATCAGAGTCCTTGCCCAGGGGCATCCTGCTGAAGTGAACAAGGAAACCCCTTTTGTTATTTTTCTCTATGTCCCCACTATTGGAGAGACATGGTCACCTGACTGAATGGCCACGTTCTCATTCTGGAAAATGGCTGAGAGGATGAAATTCATAGAAAAGAAGAAGAAGAAAAAAAAAGAAATGAAAAGCAGAACATAAAAGACTTAGTTACAAAAATTTGTTTATTTTGTCCTGAAGGCTTGGGGGCATTCCTATACTCTGTGTGCCATCCAAAATCTTTCCAGATAAGTCCTTCATTTTGTACTAAATTAATCCGATTGAGTTGAAGATCAGTAGAGTTCAAATTTTAAAATCATAAGGAATCACAGTCTCAATTTTATAACCTATTGTTGCACTCCATACTTGAAGCAGCTACCCATTGGATCCCATAGGTGAAGAGAGGTGGTTTTCTTTTTTCTTTTTTTTTCTTCTTGGTACCAGGGATCAAACTCAGAACCTTGTGCTTGCCAGGCAGTCACTTGAGCTGCTGAGCTAGCTCCCCAGCCCCAAGAGGTGGTTTTCAAACATAGAAATAAAAGTTCCTTTTCTGAAGAAATTTTAGGGTTGTACAAGGTAAGTCTCAATCTATTCATAGAGGAAACTGATACTACTTGGTCTCTGAATATATTTGCTCACCATTCAGCTCTTCCTTAGGTTGCCTGTACTAACCAGCACAGCTGTCCTCTTGCTATGC